CCATCTCCAAACAGTTCTGATGGTAGGTTGTCTATCCCTGGGTTCTTTCTTGTTTTGAGCCTTTCGATAGCTATATCTTAATCTAGTATATCAGGTTTTTCGATCTCCTCTGGACCAAGGTCCTCAGTGTATTACATGTTTTCTTCGTTCATTTGGACCCCTAGATTAAGAAGTTCCTGGAATTGTTCTTTCCACATGGTCAATATCTTTTCTTTAGATGCCGTCAGAATACTATCTTTCCTTGCATACGCGTATATCTCGCTTTATATGCTACCCTTTCTTTTCTAATGTCTGCGCAGGATTCACGTATATCTCCAGCTTGCCAGTTGTCCAATGGTTTGCAATCTTCCTTTAAGGAATTCCCTTTTTGCCGATCTTATAGTTTTGTTTGTCTTTTTCTTGGCAGCTATTTATTTGTCCTGAGCAACTTGATCAGTTGTAGTTAGGCAGAGGACTTTTATTTTTCTTCTTTCCTCTACTGTCTTTTCGTCTGTTACTGTTAACCACATCTTAGCTTTCCGTTTTTGTTGTATACCGACCACTTCCTTAGCTGTTTTATTTAGTCCTTTCTCTCTCCAATTCCTCTCAGTGCTGGTCCACAGCGTCCAAAAAGTTGGTCCACCGTGAGGTTATTCGAATCCAAGGATTCAAATTTATTTTTCAGCTCAAGTTGGAATTTGGTTTTTACTTCAGGATTTTTCAAATTACGGGCTTAGTACCTCCTTCTATCCACTCGATCCCCTGTTTTGTGGATTCGCTTCTTATTTGTGAATTTCGCTTCTTATCTCAGTTTAATTCTAATCAGAGAGTAATCCGAATCACAGTCTGTTCCACGATAGCTTCTTACACCTTATATTGAACTCTGATGTCTCTTGTCTACCAGCACATGGTCAATTTGGTTTTTCGCTATTTTGGGGCTAATCCAGGTGTACTTATTTTATGTAAGTATTGGGTTTCAAATATTTATTCCCTATTAAAAGAAGAGAGGTACCGTAAGATGGGGTATCTTCGGGACCGAGTGAGTAACTTTGGGACAGCGGATAAAATTATTTTTTTGATGATTCCGTAGTGGATACACTGTGTTGGTTCAGTCTGCAAAATGTGCTTTGTACTACGCTACTGTCTTGCAGTAGTCTGAGAACCCTAGTTCACTACACTCTTTGTGCAGTTAATTTTTGTTATTTCCATTGTTTTTTGTTTATTTAATGAAATTTACAACTGTATACAAATACAACTAGTAAATATGCGCAAATTATAAATAATGACATGTACAGGCTTGAAGAGGTACTACGCAGTGGTAGCACTCCCTAAATAATTTTAAGTAAGAAGATCACGAGGCCATCTCCTTTTCAGACGCCTAGGAGGATGATCAGGGATCGAGGAAGAAGCAAGAGTGGTAACAAGCGGATTTGGATGGGACTGAAGTTTATCATGAAAGGATAGATATCTGGCTCGAGCTAAATCAGCGACATATGGTACATTAAGGTCTTTATGAATGGTTTTATTTGTGACAAAGTATGGAGCATTAAGGATTTTACGGAGGATTTTGGATTGTAAGGAGTGGATACGATAGGAATTCGATGGTTTGGTGGAGCCCCAAAGCTCATTTCCTTTGTTAGTTTCAAAATTCTTGTTGAAACTTTCGCTTGTACCTCAAGAGTAGTGTGCCGCAAGGTAATAGCGTAATACATGCCTATACAAAGTACGTTTTTGCAGACTGAACCAACACAGTGTATCTATCATGGAATCACCACAAACTAAATTTTACCCGCTGTTCCAAAGTTACCCTATCTTACGGTATATCATTTCTTAAAAAGATATTTCAAACGTAAAGATACTTTATAGACCATTCTTTATTAATGAAATATATAACACTTGAATTTCAGGAAAAAAGTACAATAGTCAATTGGTTTCGTCATTTATTTATTTAATTGTAGATAGTATCTATTATTGCTAGGAAAAAGAGTTCTATCGCTTTCTCCCATACATGCATATTTATATATGTGATTATGTGATACGATTAACCACCCATTTGAATTTTTTACCAAACAACATGGAAAAAAAAACGAAATACCCACAACGCGTTGTGTTTAAACAAATATACTCGATTGTTGATTAAAACACTATTTTTGGTCTTGGTGTAAAGCTAAAATAACCACAATGCGTTGTAATTGTTTTATGTTTACGCAAAGGCCGAAAAGGCAATACAAAATATATATTGTTCAATATTTGAATTTAGTCCTCTACAATTAAATCTTAGAATTTTCGGCTTTGAACAGCGACCGAATATAAATACCCATAATATGTTGTATTTATTTTGATTTTTTCACGTCGCGTTGTGGGTAAAAATTCAGCCATTGAGTATATCTTACATATACATATATAAATACAATTATATTATATAATATACATATAAAATATATTAATGTACAGATCCGTTTTTTATAATTTCTTAATATTTTATGTTTAGGAATTGAAACTAGAACTGGTGAAAGTGCTGAATCAATTAAGGAGAACAACAAATCTGAGAAATCTATATTACAAACAGAAACCAACTATGTTAACCAACCGGAGCAAGAACAGGTTTTTTTTCCTTGTTTCTTTTTTTATTTAATTTTTATATTCACATCTAGCATTCATCCTGCGACAATAAGCGGATGAGATGTTGAAAGATACAATTGGAAAGTCAGACGAAAGGGAGTTCGGTATCTACTGCTAACTTCAAAATAAAAATTAATCCAGCAGGTTTTTTAATCTGCTCATTTTCAATATTCACAGATATCAGGAAAGAAAGGGTAGGATATAAAGCGAGAAATACGCAAATTTGACAGAAAGATGACAACTTGACGGCATCAAAAGAGAAGATCCTAAGCATATAGAAGGAACACTTCCAGCAACTCCTCAATCAAGGACATCCCACAATTGAAGAAGACATGGACCACACTGAGGACATCGACCCACTTTATGTTGAAAAAACAGATATTCTGGACGTGAAATAGCTATTGGCAGGTTTAAAAGAAGAAAGGCTCCAAAGATAGACAATCTACCATCAGAATTGTTCAACGATGGAGGAGAACACCTCAGAGCCAAGCTGTTAGATCTAATCCAGAAAATATGGGAGGAGGAACAAATACCAGAAGCTTAGAACACAGGGCTGGTTTGTTCTGTCCTTAGAAAGGGCTCCATGTATGGATGTGGCAATTACAGCACTTCTTCCGGTTGCCTATAAGATAATGACTAATATTCTGCTAAATCGGATATTCCCGTATTATGAAAACGTAATAGGCGACCACCAATCAGGTTTCAGGAGAGGAAGGAGTACGTTAGACCAGATATTCATCCTAAAACAAGTATTCGAAAAACGATGGGAAGTAGATCAGGACGTAAACGCCTTATTTGTCAACTTAAAAGCAGCATATGACTCCGTGGACAGATCATGAACTAGCATACGCGAATGCATAGTTGTCCTCGGAAGCAATCAAGAGGATATTGAGAGGCTCGCTCAATAAGCAGAGCAAATCGGACAAGTCAATGTAGATAAAACAAAATACATGATAGTTAGCCTGAAAATCCACCCTAATAACAATGATCTGCGTGGACTCTAGGTCATTCACGAAAGTAGACAGATTCAAATACTACGCTTCCACAATAATATCAATAAATTACCAACTAACAGAGACAGACCAGCGAATAACTAGTGCGAACAGAGCTTACTTCTCCCTTTCGAGGGTACTGAAATAAAAAATCCAGAAATCTTAAACACCATGATAAAGCCAGTTCTGCTGTACAGGTGTGAAACCTGGACCTTAGCCGGGACACTAGATGCCAGAATTCAGATTCGAAAGAAATGTTCTCAGTACGATAACAGGACCTATCTGGGATCAGAACCTTAGTAAATGGAGGAGAAGGAACAATAAAGAACTGCTAAAAGAAACTGGTCAGTCAATATCTCATGATATGAAGGCAAGGAGGTTCAGATGGGGCGTGTAGCTCGAAGCAACCCATCAGGACGCCTTTACACAACAATGAATGCAAGAGTAGTAGGCAAGAGACCACGTGAGAGACCAAAAAACAAATAGATGGATAGGATCAACAAAGATACGGCTGAGCTTCATGCCGCAAATAGGAAAAGAAGTAGCCCAAGATACCTGTATAGAAATCGCCTGAGGCATTACTCCTTGCATATATATAACTAATAATTTATGTGATACTAATTTGTTAGGCCATGGCCGTAGCGTACCTCTAATTCTTGGGAGGACATTGAATTTTGGTTATAGATCGTATCATTGTTAAAAACTATGCTAAGCATAGAGACACAATTGGAATCTTCAGTTTAAGTGTGGACAGCGAAAAAAAACCTTCCAGTTTTATTTTCCGATTTTAGATTCTAAAGTAAAAAAAAGACCTATTTGCATTTTAGTTTATTCTTAGTTAAATTGGAAGGAGAGTGCGTGCGCCCCCCCTCTCTACACCTATTCATAAGGGTTAGTATCAAAGATAAGTCATTTATTATCTAGTAAATAATGATTAAAATTCTATTTTAAAAATGTGCATTTTATAAATTTATTAAACCAACATTTTTCACTGAGTGAATGGATAGTCGAGTGATTTGTTTTACTAATTAAATTTGAGTATTTTAATGGTTTATCTAATTTTAGCGTTAAAATGGTTATTTAATAATTTTATTACATTTTCTCAATAAAAGAAAATATGAATATCGATTTGTAATTCGTACATTAAGATCTAGGATAGTAGTGAATTTTAATTTAGCCTGGATGACAAAGTCATTCTAAGATCAACACTGAGTACCGTGTTTACGTTGATAAGCTTTTGATTGTAAGCCAGTCTAATGGTTGAATTTTAGGTTGTCATTTACGAGAATATTTTAAATGGTGAAACTAAAAAGTTTAACCTATGTCTTCTAAACTTGATACATATAGTAATATGTATTTAATACAATATTCGATGTCATTTAATTTAATTTTTTTTATAAATGGTTGAAGAAATATTAAAACGGAAAAATGTAGTTTTCAATATTTTCCAATTAATTTCAGTATTTATGTACTGATTCTAAATGACAGAACCATACACTTTGGTAATTATCTTATTTTCCATTGGCTTAGTAAATATTTACTTTAAAAGTTGTATTAAATTCATGGACATACCACCTAATATATACTCCTATTATATGCATAATGTAATAATTTAAATAGAATAAAGGAAACAAAGTTCATAAACATAATACATATATAAAATTTGTTTTTTTAAGATCTTCATTGTAAAGTTACCTGGTATTAAAATTAATTTATATATAACTTTTTAGTTGGTATCTGCTTTATGTTTATTTGTTTATGAGTTGTATAAAAAATAAATAATACCAAAATTCACAGAATAAATGGATAGTATATTTATTTGTTTTACCATTACTAATTCAATTTACTTTTTTCAACTTCATTGGGTTCAAGATTCTGTTTCATTATTTATTTCAGGGTCATGGTTGGAATTTGAAGGTTTCAGCGGGTGAATTATTGGGCAGAACACATGAAGAGCTAGTGCTGCTTTTGATTCAATTGCGTCGACAAAGAGCGACAGTTTGTCAATCTATGGAGAAGTGCCATAGAGAAATAGAAGCACAGGTATTTCCTGGTAATTTTAAAATATCAAACCATTAAATTTAAGTTTGAAAGCGGTTTTAATTCTATTTTATATTTTTTCTACTCAGATAATAAAGAAATTGAAGTATGTCAATAAAGTGTTGATAATTTCTAGGTTTATGAATGACAACTATTTGAATTTCTAGAAATTAAAAGAAAAAATTTAGTTTATGTTATACCATCGTCATCATGATCCCAAGGTCTACTGTCCATTACTGGATCTTGGTTATCTCAAGAGTTATCTTCCACTTTTCTCTGTCCTAAACAGCTCACCACCAGTTCCTGATTTCAAGAATTCTGACATCAGCACCAACTACATCTATCCATATCAGCTTCAGTCTTCCCACTTTTCTTTTTCCACCTAGTTTCATGCTGAACAGCTTCTGTGGGATTGAGGTCTAGTCCATTGCTACAACAGGCCCTCATCTTACGGGAGCCCATCTCAGTCTTGCTATCCTATTAAGCTAACCATATCCGGCTCCATGTATAAGTTGTCGAGTTTATGGTTATATCTAATTCTCCATTCATTATTGTCCTTTACAGGACCAAAATTCTTTTGAAGTATCCATTTTTTTATTTTATTTATTATTTGGGTTTTATACAACTCAAGGAGTCATATCCCCAATACCCAAAAGCCACTGCTCCCTGTCCATCCAATCTCCCTCACGAAGCCCTCTGGCTGCCATGCTTTCCTCCACGTCCTCCATCCATTTCTTCTTTGGCCTTCCACGCTTCCTTCTTTCAGGTGGCACATAGTTATAAATTTTCTTTGGCCAGCGGTTCTCATCCATCCGCATTAAGTGGCCATACCACTTTAACCGTTTGGTCCCGATCAGGTGAAGGATGTTCTTTTGACATCCGACCTTGTCTCTAATTGCTGCGTTTGGGATCCGCTCGATTCTGGATATGCCACAGCTTCTTCTCCAGAAATCCATTTCCATGGAAAGCAACTTATTTTCCATCTTTTTTGTCAGTGTCCAGACTTCTGATCCGTAAGTGGCTACGCTTTCTACAAAGGAATGGTATATCTTTTTTTTAGTTTCTAATCTTAGTTCTTTCCTCCATAGGGTTGAATTTATCGAACTTATTATTCTTTTCCCATTATTTATTTTATGTTCGATATCAACCTCACTACCACCCTTTGAAGATAACCAGTATCTGAGGTACTTGAACTGTTGGCTGACATTTAGCGTCCAGTCATCAATTTCAAGGGGCAAATTTGGAGCGTTAAAAACCATATACTCTGTTTTACTTTCACTGATTTTCAGACCCCATCTGGAATACGTGTCCAGCAACTTCCTCATCATATAGCTAACATCATCCGGATCCGATGCGATTATGACTTGGTCATCGGCATACGGCATTTTTTTTAAAGAAAAGTAAATTTTACTGTGGACATTTGGTCCGCTAAGAATAATATGTTAAAGAATAAAATGTTATGAAAAAGCAAGTTAGATTAGTTTTGTAGTGTTCTTTAAAACTCCTTAATACAAATTTTTATAGAAGTTGAAAATTGCGAATTTTAGTACTTAATTTTCTTAGAGGACTTTTTTTTCCCAACTATTCATAACTTCTCAGGATTTTTTCCAAATTCAAAGTTAGTACAACTGCTGGGAAACAGAATTACCGCACTTCCAACCCATATCAATAACTTTTAGATTTCTTTTCTTTTTAAGCTAGTAATTAAAAAAACCTCTTAATCATTTTTATTATAATTTGTTTATGGATGTTGTGTTTATTTCATTGTATGTTGCATATGCTAAGCCATCGAATTCCTCCCGTATCCAATCCTTACAATCCAAAATCCTTCATAAAATCCTCACTGCTCCTTACTTTGTCACAAAAAAAACATCCATGACGACCTTAATGTTCCTTATGTTTCTGACCTGGCCCAATCCAGATACCTATCCTTCCATAACAAACTTCAGAACTATCCAAACCCTCTCGTTTCTAACCTTGCTTCCTCTTCGATCTCTGACAACCCTCCGAGGCGTCTGAAAAGAAGATGGCCTCGAGATCTATTTTTGTAAATACATTTTTATAGTGCTACCAGTGGGTAGTTTCTCACCAAATGATTTCATGTTATTATATTCTATTGTACACATTTACTGAATGTATTTTTACTTGTAATACAGTTGTAAATATCATTAATAAATAAATAAAAAAAATAAAAAATTTAAAAAACTTATTTGGACATTGTTCTTTATAGTATTGGACATCAAGAGAAAAATGGAGATATAATAATTACTTCCTAGTGCCTGAAAATCGTTTAGACCAAAGTTAGAAAAATATAAGTCAACTACTTACAAAAATTTAAGAAAATTATTGCGAAAATAATCAATTTGTTTAGAAAAATGTAAAAATTAATGACAAATAAACACAACAGTTAAAGATTTTTTTTTTCTATAAGTAAATTGTGAAGTTTCCACTTTTTTTTTTTTTTAATTTATTACCCACTTGACTATTTAAAAAAAATAGTTGAAGATGGTTTATAAAATATAAACAAGGGATATGAAAAGCTATTTAACTATTTACTTTTAATGAAAATCAGAAATTTATAATGGTTGTGAGGCCTAAGTAAACTAACTTATCTAGTAGTATGGTTAGTCTCCCCACTGCTTTTACCTCAGTCTCCCCCCCACTTGTCGTGAATGAACCTTTGATTTCCGAACTTCATTCACTACTTTACACAATCATTCAGAACATCATTAGCGCCTCAGAATGCAATTCCGAATGACTATGTAGGGTCCACATAACACTGCATTTAACTCACCATCTAGTTACAGCCCATATTGTACCTTATTAATTTTCAATTTTCATTTCAAAATTTGTTAATTTAATATAAGAAAACTATATAAAATTAATTAAATTCATTGTACTTTGTGTTTTCATCTTTTCTGTAGAAATATATTTGATTAGTTTTAGAAATAATAATTTTTTTTTTACTATACATATATTTTTTTTATTGATACCATTTACATTTTCTTTTTAAATATATAAACAATAAGCTACCTGAACTTTACAATGAATAAAAACACAATGCCCGCCTCTCAAGAGATAATCAATAAATGGGCCCGTCCCGCTGCTGAAAAAGGGTTGGGAACCCCTGCCTTACTATGTATATTGTAGACATATCTAATACAGTCAATTATCTTTTACATCTGTGATATTTAATGTTATAAATAATTTTAATCTCCTTGATTTTTAGGCCTGCTTGACTGATTTAGATAAATCTAACCGAGTTGGGCATTTACAAAAATTGGATGAACTCAAAGCCCATCTTGTAGATCTTGAGAAACAGGTTAGTTCACACTCGTATGTTGATATAACACATAATTTACTTTACTAAGGTAAAAAAAAAATAATGTACACACACTATTAGGTTTAACCTAAAAATTGTATTTCATCTTAGTTTGATTTGGACTCTCCTGATAAGAGTCCAGTTCTGTTAGTGGAAAGTTACAAAGTATGTTTTTACTATGTTCCTAGCATGATGTATACAGGGTCTTTCAGGGTTACTGCAAAAATGAACTAAGGACCTCAAAACAAGAAAAAAATTTCCTTTGAAGGTATGTCCGCAAACGCTTTGTCTAGGAGATATTCACACCTAAAGATTTTCGTTGTTATGAATTATTTACATTATATGAAATAAATAAAACCTATTTATTTATTCTAATTACTTTATTAATTAAATGTAAACATTAACATTCATATTAAATGAGAAGGAATTAGTCGAGGGTGCGGTCAAAAAAATAAAAAAAATTAAAATATATAAATAATTTTAATTTTTGCCGACGTTTCGACCCACTTTGCAGGTCGTCTTCAGGGCTACAAAAGATACAAACATGTTGAAAAAATAAAAATAAAATAAAAAATAAATATAAGTATATATAAATTACGAAGAAGTTGTCAGATACAGAAATAAAAGATAAAGAAAATAAATACATGATAAGAAAATAGATAAAAGAAAATAAATACATGAATGTTAATATATATTATAATAATAATATATTAATATTATAATATATATTTAATTAGTTAATATATATATATATATTAGTTAATATATATTATAATATATATTTTAATTTTTTTTATTTTTTTGACCGCACTCTCGACTAATTCCTTCTCATATCATATCAACGGTCAACCAACTCTGCATCATTCATATTAAATGTTGTTCGAAGTAATTTCCTTGAGCGTTAAGACAGGCTCGACATCTTTCATCAACGGCAACAGTGGCAGAACGTTACTGGACATGTGTTATTGTTTCACAAGATTCAATTATCCTTCTTCGTAAGGAATTAAGGTGATTGACCGGACTTGCTCAATCATATCCCATATTTTCCCTATCCCAATCAATGGATTGGCCATGCAGGACCAGTGGCTTGGCTTGCACACTCTTCAGACCTGACACCACTGGATTTTTTTTGTTTGTGGTGACATTAAACAAGTCCGGTCGATGATCTTAATTCCTTACGAAGAAGAATAATTGAATCTTGTGAAACAATAACACATATCCAGTGCCGTTCTGCCACTGCTGCTGTTGAACCTGTCTTAATGCTCAAGGAAATCACTTTAAACATCATTTAATATGAATGTTAATGTTTACATTTAATTAATTAAGTATTTTGCATTGCGTTTGCAGACATACCATCAAAGGAATTTTTTTTCTTTTTTTGAGGTCCTTAGTTCGTTTTTGGAGTTTAGCTACTTAACCCTGAAACACCCTGTATATTGAAAACGAATTTTTAAATGTTATGAAAAAGTAGTTTAAATGGATATATAGCATTTCCAAATCAATTTCAGCCTTTTCCAAATCAAATTCAACCTTTTTCAAGTCAAATTAAACCTTTTCCATTTCAAATTCAACTTTCGAATTTTTGTCGATTTTCGATTTATTTTGCAATTAAGGCTACTTACTATATTATCGAAAGCATAGCTTTAAAAAAAAAAATTATGATAACGTGGTTGCATATCCATTTATTTTAACTTTTTAGATTTTTTCAGTATAATATTTCCATGTCATATTGAATTTTTTCCAAGTCAAATTCAACCTTTTACAAATCAAATTAAACTTTTCTAAGTCAAATTCAACCATTTCCATTTCAAATTAAACCTTTTCCAATTCAAAGTCAACCGTTTCCATTTCAAATTAATTTTTGTAAATTTTTGATTTTTTTTAAAAATAAAGGTCATTCCCCTCCCCTTCCCCCTCTCGCCAACACTATGAAGGTCTATCATTATGCTCCCCTAAATAATTTTTCAAAATACTATCGATTTTATGTTACACTTATATCGATTTATTGCTCCTATTCAGATTTCTTAGGTTCTAGTATTATTCTCATATGTGCCTAGTTTTTGAAAATAACCTACATTTTAAGAATACGACACTGCGTTACGACTTATTTAAGTTTTTCGTATTTATTATAAATTCAAAAAATTAAATAAGTTGAAACGCAGTGGTGTAATCTTAAAATGGAGGTCATTTTTAAAATCTACGGCTTTGAAAACATAAGAATACACCCTTATATCGAATAAATCCAAAAAACTTAAATAATTCGAAACACTGTGGCGAAATCTTAAAATGGAGGTCATTTTCAAAATCTACGGCTCCGGAAACATAAGCATACACCCTTATATCGAATAAATCCGAAAAACTTAAATAAGTTGAAACGGAGTGGTGTAATCTTAAAATGGATGTTATTTTCAAAAACTACTCATACTATAACTGATTCACCCATACATCAAAAAATTAAAAATAATGAAATAAAAAAAATGTTGAATTTGAAATGGAAAAGGTTGAATTTGAAATGGAAAAGGTTGAATTTGACTTGGAAAAAGTTTAATTTGATTTGGAAAAGGTTAAATTTGACTTGGAAAAGATTGAAATTGGCTTGGAAATGGTATAGAAAGTATGGCAAGGAACTATGATTAATATTTAAAGGGTGGTCTGACTTATCTAATAATGTAACATGGTGAACCTTACATGATTTTTGACCATCAATGAAAATTGTTATAGGATTTTCCCAAAATATGAATTGCTTTCAACTACTTAGAACCAGAAATGCTATTAATTTTCTTGTTGGTATCTATTTAATAAACGTTTGTTTATGTTATTGATATTGAATTAAAAGTCAAATTTTGTAAATATGAAATAACTATTTATGGTTTAATATTTCCCATTTTTAAAATATTCTCATTTTTTTCATTGTTCATGTCTTTTTTTTTATTTTTAGTATGAAAAAGGAAAGCCTTTAGTGAACCTAGTTGATAATATGGTAAAACTTGGTTCTCTATATCAAGCTGGCTCTCCTGAAAAAATAGAGTTTATTCAAAGAATTCAAGAACAGAGATTATTAGCAGAAGAAAAACGTGACTGGGAAAGAATAAGGCCTGACCATCATGAATTGAAAGTAAAAAATGTTATATTTTTATCATAATAAATTGTTATTATTTACTGATAAACCCTTTAGTATTAGATTTAAGATTGAAAGTTTAGAATTTGTTTTTTATAAATTGGTCTTAATAAATTTTATAATATCGTTTAACATTATTTGAACTTATCTTTCTCATCGAAATATTCCTTTTGTATTTTTTAAATTAATATTTAAGTTTCTTAAAATTTTAAGAAATGAACTCCTTGTTATCTGTAATATATATATATATATATATATATATATATATATATATATATAATTTAAAAAAATTAAATTTCTTTTTAGAAACTGTTTTTTCTATTAATGCATTCATCATATATATATATACACACACACATATATTTAAAACCATTTTTATTTTTTCTCTAGGCTAAGGTTGAGAGACTTTATAGATTAGACAAACTTTTACAAGAAGAATCAGGAACTCTTCATAGTCTTCAACAAGACAAGGTGAATTAAATATTAGACATGATATTAGTTCAGTTATTCTTGTTGTTTTCCAACTCTATTTAATCTTAAATGGAGAAGCATTATTTTCAATGAAAACTAAATCTTACTAAGAAATATTTTGTTTTAATTAAGAATTATATTTTAATGGTAAAACTAATAAAATGACTACGCTTTATTATTTTCAACATTATTTATTACTTCGAAGAATAGAATACTACTTTACTTTCCATGCTATTCATTTTCCTTTTATATTTAGTTGTTTTACCATCTAAATTTGAGTACAGCTTAAATGATGAAGAATTATATTTGCTAGGGTGTTCTTGAACGAGCATTAGGTGGATTGAGAACTAAACTTCAGGGTATACATGGGAATTCTCCTGAGACAGAATGGTATAAACGTCAGCAGCGTCTTCTTGAAAAAGAATTGAGCCGAGTTCGTTCCATTTTAGCTTTGAATTCAAAGGTAAACCAAGCATGTTATACCAGTTTAAGTTGTTTTAACATAATTATATTCTACCTAAAATTAGCTCTTATGTTCAGAAACTTGAGGAAACTGTTGCTGAAAATGCAAGATTAGAACAAGAACTTGTTGTTCTTCGACAAAAATTGCAATTATCTCGAAGAACTGCTGAGCCTGGTGGAACTAACACTGCTGCGTTAGAGGCTGAATTATGTCAGGTTCAACTCTTGGTAGGAAATTTACTTCGTCAGAGGCAAGAACTAAGTCTTCAAGTAAGACAGTTGACTGAGAAATCAAATTCATTAAGTAGACAAATTTGGCCTAATTCTACTGATAACATTGGTAAGATAATTATCAAAAATTCGTAGGATATTATGTAAATACTATGCAAAATATTTTTGTAAATTTGAATGAATTAAATCTCATTAAATAACCTCCAAATCATATATATATTTTTGTTTGTTACTTTTGAATTTGTTGAGCCTTGTACTTTGAAATTTATGTTGTATTGTAAAACACTTAAGAACATTGATTTTATATTTCGTATAGTCTAAATCAGTGGTAAGTTTATTTAGAACATAAAATTTATAATAATTGGAAATATTCTCGTCTAACTTCTAGTTTTTAATTTATTTTTTTACTTAATACCTTCACAAATAAAATTTCAACTTCTATTTTTAATCAGCTTCAATAGGACTGGAATCTTTATTTTCAATTTATTTGTTACTTTGGAACTAGATTTTTTTCTCTGGCAACTTTTCAAGTAAACATTTTACAGAAATTTTATTTTTATTTAAAAGTTCTGTTAATTTCGCTAAAAAGTCATTCTAAAAAATACCTTTTTTTTTTAGTTATTCAAACTAACAACACATTAGAATCAAGTAATTCGTTCAAGATATCTTACAACTCTAAATTAAGCCCAACTACTGTTTATTTCTCATTGTTTCATCTCTCATCACTTTTTCAAGAATTAAAATTAAAAAAAGTTAAACTTTTACCATAAACATAGAAATTTATTACAAAGATCCTTAGAATGTTTATTTTAAGAACTTTTTTCTAAAAAGTTTCATAGAAACTGTCGTTAAAATGGAACTTTTCAAAAAAGTTCCATAAAAATTTCAGCCTTTCATAAATCTGTTTAAGTAGGGAGACTGACTGTCAAGAGGTTAATTGACATTAGATCATTAAAGATTTTGCTTATTACATCAGTTTTTTTAATATCTCCTTTAAGTTGATGGGGCATTGAAGTCACCACTTGTGTAATATAAAGACTTCCATGTCGGACTTATTTTCATGTGTATTGTACATAAAGAATATCTGTTTATTAATGTTTCTTCTCTGGAGTGATAATTGAATTGCTTCTGATTAATCATTAGTAGAATTTTTTTTGCTATTATTTGTACTGGAATTGGATGGCTTTAAGAATAGTACTCTTTCCAATGTGATTTACCTTTATTATTAGGGAGCATATAAATGTGATAGTGCAGAAGACTAAAGAGTTCAAGTTTATATACGGAACTATTCCTATCTCTTAATTCTGGATCTTTCATGTTAATAATTTTCTTAGCTGATTTATTTGTTATCAAACTGCCTGCATTCTAGTAGAATCCCTTCCACTGGAGCCTTTCAAAGCCTTTAAAAAAGGGTGTTTTCAATGAGTTTCATTTTAGACCTACACATAGTATCAGTTTTGGTTATGGGTTGTCCGATATTACGTGATCATTTGATTGGTTATTCAGGTGCATGAGGGTAATCACTCTACCCTCTAGGACAATATGAACTTACTTATATAATCTACCTGGAAGAGTTGGAATTTTATGAACATTGAAAATATGACTGAATTATGTTTACCATCACTTTTCTTTTTTTTTTTTTTTTTGTTATTTACCCTTATGTAGTTTAATTTTTTTCATGTTACAATTTATTAATAATATAAGATCAGGCATTAGGTGAATTTTTCAAAACTAAAAATCTGATGCGTATGATTTTTTTTTTAATAAAAAGTTTCATTTATATTATGTTTATTCTCTAATTATGAAAAACATTGTTAGGTTTTTTTTTTTTTTCCAAATTCATGACAAATTTATTTTAGGTGATATTAACAATACTGGGAAAAAAAACTTGAATAATGGCTGGATGGAAACAGATCTAGATGCGGAAGTAACAAATGATGTTAGTAGTTCGTCATACCATAACAGAAATGGCAGACAACATCCCGTATATGTGTCTCCATTATATGTGAATACTACCTCTGAAAGGGATATACGTATGTACTATGTTTTATCAACTTACTAGAGTAATTATTATTTTTTATAAATAATTGTAGAAGAATGCTGTTAATGAACTTTAATATAATCAATGCCTGGGAAAGGGGAATGTTTATGAAAAGGACAGGTCGCTATTTAACGACTTGAAAGGAAAATTAAGTGCTTCTGGATATCGAATAATATGATTATTAGTCACTTAGTTTTATATTTATATAGAGGCTTTTTCTAAATCTTACTACCTATTTTATGAATTACAATAATTTTACAATACAAAAATGGTATTTGGAAAATTAAAAATATGCCATGAAAAATGAGAGAAATATAGTTTTAATTATAAATCACTTATTGTCTTTATCTTTTAGGGGTTCATTATTTTCTTTAGAATTGTTATTTATTTCATGATTATTTATTTAAATAAGGTAGTTTAGTATTTTATCTCTCTAGTAGGCACTAAGTTCGAAGTACAGTCTGGAGTGCATCAAGGAGATGCCTTATCGGCAACACTGTTCAACATAGCTCTGCATGCTGCTGTGAAAGATGCAGCTAAAAAAGGCACCATCATTGATAAGACCTGGCATATTTGTGCTTACGCTGATGACCTGGTGATAGCTGCACGAAGTGAAAAGGCGCTTAAAGAGGCATTTGATATTGTGTACAAAAATGGCAACAATGTAGGACTTGTGGTCAATGAAAACAAAACTAAATACCTGAAACTGTCCTCGGCAGCAAGTAGAAGATCCTGCAATGAAATTACAATAAAGAATTTTAAGTTCGAAAATGTACCTACATTCGTGTATCTTGGTTCTGCCCTAAATAATAAAAATGTAATCAGCAGAGAAATAGACAACAGAACAATGGCTAGTAATAGAGCTTACTATGCAAACCTAAAACTTCTCAAGTCTCCATTGTTGTCAAAAGCCACAAAATTAAAGCTGTATAAAACGCTTATTAGACCAGTAGTCACCTATGGAGCGGAAATCTGGTGTTTATCGCAAGAGGATTGCCGTAAACTAAAAGTATTTGAAAGGAAAATAATAAGAAGGATTTACGGTGCTACATCCTCAACTTAAAATAAGTTGCCACATTATCAACCTATCAGTTTTTTATTGATATGTTAATTTACTGTTAGCGTCAAAATATTGAGTAGTTTTTCTTGGATTATCAAAGAAAACACAAGATGTTCTATTCTATATTTTAAATATTATATATAAATTTTTTTTTTAATAAAAAAATAAGTGAAAAATTACTTTTTTTTTAGAATGTAACAGCAACTCTCCATATCCAGATGATTATTTTGAAACTACTGCTTTATCTTCACGAAACTTGGAATTAAGTCAGTTATCAGAAATGAATGATGAAGATATCATTAGACAATCTTACGGTATTGCTATTGTATTACCATTTATTTAAAATTAAACAGAACTCCATGCACACGCACACACACATACACACATATATATGTATATATATACATACACATATGTATGAAAAAGAAAGACTTTTTTTTATTTACTGCTCATTTGTGTACTTATTATAAAAAATATATTTCAATTATAAATTAATTAAATATTCTTTTCATTTTCTCAATAATGGACATCTCTATATAGTGAAATATATATAATATATATACATGTACATACACTTATGTATGTGTATATATATTTCACTATATAGAGATGTCCATTATTGAGAAAATGAAAAGAATATTTAATTAATTTATAATTGAAATATATTTTTTATAATAAGTACACAAATGAGCAGTAAATAAAAAAAAAATCTTTCTTTTTACTATTCTTTGAAGCAAAAACACTTTTGAAAGAAATGGAACTAGTATTTAGTACAAATTTTAGAAACTTCAAGACATCGAAATATCAGTTTTGGTAGAGTGGAAATGTCAATTTTTCGGTAGAAAGCTCCTCAAAAGTACACAAATTGAATGTTAAATCTTATAGGGAAAATATAATGTAAAGTTCAAGTAACTTAACAATATTAATCTGTAATTTTCGTTTGAAGTTTTTTTGCATATCAATTTTGTTTTACAAATTAGCTTGATGAAACAAAATTGATACCTCTCCTTTAGAGTCTTAAAAATATAATAAAATAAAAATGTGGTGTTTTTTAAATTTATAAAGCTAATTACATCTAAAAGGACTTCAGGAATCACGTAAACACCATTTCATATAGGTATTTAGTTTCTTTCTTTTTTTCCAAAGTAATTATCGTTATTTTATGAAAAAAAGCTTTTGGGCTGAAGCCCTCCTTCCAGAATTAAATCCTGGATCCGCTAGTGCCTGTGCTTTTATGTGCACTCCTCCCACTAATCATTTATATTTTTCTTTTATAGTCAAATGAACCTGAGTAGACAGCGGGCACAATCAATTCTGTTGGAAAATTAAGAGTGAAAAATTAAAACTATAATCCCTAATATCAAACAGAGTTCCCATTACATAATTGAACTAAGCTACTATAAATAGTATTGAAAACCATTAATTATCACAAAAAATAATTTATTATCAGTTTTGACCTTGATAAATGCAGCCAAAGTAGTTCAAGAACATGTCACAACTCATTACATGAATTAATAACCCCTTCATTGTTATTCACGGTCCTTCTCCATCCCTCCATCTCAGTAATTATCAGTTTTGACCTAGATTATTGCTGTCGAAATTAGAGAGAATCACTTTATTATCATAAAAGGGTGCTGCCCAATTACATTGGGTTGCTTTAAACACAGCATACTTATTAATCGCTACAGACAATTTTCCAAAACTAATATACAATTATATAGTATTAACAACATATATGAGCATAATATACAATTTTTTTTTTTTTTTTATCTATATATATATTTTTTTTTCATAATTTTTTTTCCTATATTTTTATTTATTTTTTTATTTATTTATTTATTTATTTTATTTTTACTATTTCTTTAATTCACTTATTAGCACTATACATCCCTTTATGTTCCTTCTCTCACTCTATACATTTTTCTCCTCTCTTTTCCTAACCTAATTCATAACATGCATACAAATACATAAAGTGCAGTGGACGTGGTCAATAAATAATGTAAAAATGCTGTAAAACACGCATGCCTCCCCCCATGAAAAACTCTCTATCCATGCACATGGTGATGGATAATTCCCAGGGAGTCAAGGATTATGTTCTCTGCCAACCTTGCCACGTCCTTTATGTCGACACCAAGGCCCTCCATGAAGCTCCTTGTTGAGTCTGGTATTGTTCCGCGAGCTCCGAACCAAAGGCCTCTCTCGCGGAACTTTTCACTAAGGAAAGGGATGCATTTCTCATATGTCTGTTTTTTCTCCCTTTCCACTTTTCCTGCCTGATCGAGGTCGTTGGTCTCATATCTCACGGTCGGATCCAAAATCATCGCCGACTTTCCCGTCTTAGGGAATGCTACAATGTCGGCATATCGGGTGGATCCATCCGTATCTATACAATATACTTCCTCGAAACAGGCGTATTCTCTCTCTTCAAGGAGCCTCATCAGTTCATGTTTGACTCTGTGGTGACGGCGCGTTATAAGGAGGGAGTTGTTGGGGCATTTTCCAAGCACATGTGCTGGTGTTTCTGGCTCTCTGTCGCATTTGCGACAGAGGGACCCAACTTCTCTTACCTGTCCGCTGACACCTGGGACTTCACGCAGGGGTGCATAATTAATATTCAGTTTCCGGGAATTTGACCATTCAGACCCAGAAAGTACTTGCTTATCATACATGTATTTGTTGGCTTTCGGGGTCTCTTTAAAATGGCGAACTCCAATGCCCTGCCACCTGCGATTGGTCCATTCCTCAAACGAATTTTCTCGAAGCGACTGCCGTAGAGCTCTCATATTCCGAATACCCCGATCAACCCCCAATCTCTCGGCACATTCATCAACCTCAGCCGAATAATCAAAGATCGACTGAAAAAGGGCATCGGGCACATTGGACAGTCGCTGAGCAATGGACCAATGTTGTAGAGGAGCCTCCCATTGGCAGCGGATTAATCCTAATCCTCGATACCTCCTGGGAGAGTACAACATCGCCGTGGAGGTGTTCGCAGGGAGTCCAACAATAGCCTTCACACTCCTGCGAATCATGGTGTCGATGTCGTCAAGTATGGCAGGACGCAGCTTTGTGAGGGGAGCAGTTTGGAGAGGGTAAGTAAGACCCGGGAACAGATATTGGTTGACAATGTTTAGCTTCTGCTCCGGCTTCAGCAAGGGAGAGGTAACCATTTTATTCAGATTTTCGTTCAATTTGGTCACCGAATCTTCGTTGAACTGTAGCTCTCCCGAGAATGTACATCCTAAATACTTGATTGTATCTCCATTCTGCAAAGTTTGGATGTACTCTCCGTTCTCAAGGGAGAGCATCGCTGTTTCCAGCTCTCCTTTTGAGATAGCTCTCCTTATAAATGATTTTTTTCTGGTCATAACTAGCTTTAGCCAAAACACATAAAAAATTAACTCATTGTTAGTCGGATACAACTTAAGTTACTAAGAAGCTTCAAATTTATCTGTTACAAGAATTTCAAATACTGCTATTAAAATAAAATATTGCCTAAATTTACCTCGGTCAGATCCTGTATTGATCAGCTTGAGTGCTTCTCCATGATGTAAAAGTATGCAGATGTCATAAAGGTTTAAACTTAAATTAGGAAAAGGTGCAACCAAATTCACTCTGTTTTGACCACACTTATCCTGTTCAAAGCTGATGATAAATGATTTTATTTGGTAATTACTGGTATTGAATGAAATACTTAGGTAAACTAGCTAGTTCTAACTACTGGGGTAGGTTAAATCTAGTTTTAACAGAGTTTTAGTTTTTATTGTAACATATGCAGTGTATTATACTATTAAAATATAGCTTTTAAAATAAAAATTAAAAAAACAATAAAATTCATACCAATTAGAGAAGATACAGACTGTGGTGTCAATGTATACATGCACCAAAATGACAAGAGGATAGAGTATAAACTGAATGTTCGTATCTGAAATGAAAGGGGTAGACTTGTTTTTAAGTAGATATCTATATAATAAATCAATCTAAAGCAATATTAATACAAAATTAAATAATAAAGTACAGTCGTAAGCTACTCACTAATATGTTTGATCTATACAATCAATCTAAATAAATATAAATAAAAAAGTAAATAATAAAGTACAGTCTTAACCTACTCACTGAGATGTTTTTGAATGCTTGACGACGTAGGTGACATTGGCATACCGGACAATGTGAATCAGTTTTTTTTAATATAATTTTATTATTGATGCTTACAAAACTTAAGTTTTGTTCTTATTTGAAAATTAAAATTGTAAGACAGTCGTAAACTTTATTATGTAAATAATCCCACACCTTCCATTCAGTGATTTGAAAATGTTTTAGTTCTTCAAGTTCAATAATTAGTACATATTATTAATATCACATTCTTATTAAATGATTATAAGCATATCTTTATTATATAGTGTCATTCAATTTATTATTCATGTCATTTAACTTCACCTAATGAAATTTCTGAACTCTTCTAGGTTTCCATCTCAAGGAAAAGCCACAAGAAATTAAAACTGTTCGGATTGTTAAAAGGGAATCAGAACGTAGGCAGAGGGACAGAGACAGAAGCGGTAATATAGGTATTCCCATTAGTTCTGCAAGTTCAAAAAGACTCCCTATTGCTGAAGAACGCTGCATTGATGTAAGAAATATTTTTCATGAAAGGTTCATTTAGTTTCATAATTAAATACTGATGAATGTTCATTTAAAAAAATGCTGGATTGATTCTAATTAAATTAATCTAAATATATAAGATTTTTAATTAATTATGTAAGAAAAGTGTTTATTTCAGAAGGAAAAAAATGAAAAAGAATTAGTAGAAGAGACTCAGGTTGAACTAGATAGTAAACTGTCTGAAGTTCCTCCTACACCTGGACCTCGAACAGATTCTGTTAATGCCGTTTGGAATTTAGTTCGAAAAAACCGTGTGAAGGTATTTAAATTTAATTTAAAAAATATAATTATTAATGGTATTCTTAAAATAAATACTTTTTTTGCTTGAGTTTTGATAGAAATAAATGTAATATTTTATATTTGTTTGATAATAGACAGTAAGGTTGTATTATCTACATGTAATTACTTAATATTTCCTTTTAAATTCAACCAGTTTAATAAGGTCTATTTTACAATTAATTACTCTCAATAATAAATTGTAATTGGTAAACTGATTAATTATTTAAGAAAACCAAGTACCATGTATTATTTATTTTCCCATTCATAGATTACTTATTACTGATGAAACTGGTTAAATATTTATTGATGAATCTTATATAAGTTTTATATTAATTTTAGGGAAAGTTACTGATAAATAAGAGTGACATGAATGATTCATTGGTTATTAATAATGATTCACCTCAGTTATCTCCAGTTTATTTAAGCGAAACAGCAAGAAAAATAGTTGAAGAAGTAGCTTGGCAAGGAATGGGGGAAAAACGACTTGTACCAAAAGAAAAAAGGAGACACCACACAGTATCTGGTCCTTCTTTAGGCACACCTCAAACTTTGTATTCTCAGGTAGACTTTATAAAATCGCTTTATAATTTATAGTTTAATGTTAAGAAGATTTTTAATGTTTATATATTTATTTTTAATCTTTAGTATTTTTATGTATTTTAAATTATGCACATTAGAAAAGTCACTTTTTGCCTGTAAATCTGTGCATTTTCTGAATATCTGTTGTTGAAAATACTTTTTAACAATGTGTATAAATAGAGAGAGGATTTCAATGCTAATATTTATGTTTATAAGTTTGTATTTGTCAAACATCAAAATATTATGTGTTTTTGTTTGGTTTGTAATTATTTATTTGTTGAGTTTGCACTAAATTTTGTTATAACAATAGAACGAAGTGCAGCGGTGTTTTAGAAATGTCATATATTGCTTTCGGCGAGTATATTATATTATAAATAAAGTTTATCATTAAAAACGAGCAATCTAGATGCAATCTAGTGACATGAATTACAGGAATTTTTGTTTTCTTTTTTTGATACAATTTTATTTATTCTTCTACAACAAAATCTCTTCAGTGTAGTCCACATTAGATATTTTATATTTCTGCTAGAATTTCTTCTGATTCCTGAAATTTGATCTTTAGGAGAGTTTAGCTCTCTCTTAGCAAGGTGCTTCAAATCTCATCTATACCTGTGAAATGACAGCTGTTAAAGGTTTTCTTTTTTTTTTGGGAAACTATCCAAAGTCACACAAAGTGTTAAATAATTTTATCTATTTATTTTTAAATAATTAGTGTAAACTTATTCATAATCATCTTTACTAATTGATCTTAAATCATGGAAATAATATGACATACATATTTACAAAATATGCCAAAAAGAGAAAGTCTCTAGTTTAAGGTTTTCTTATAATTAACCTTTTTTTTTCTATGGCTAGTGATAGCTTATAGGTTCACATTTTTTATTTTTATAATAATGATGTAAATATTTTGGGTATAAAATTTCCTTCAAAATTTAAAAATTCAAACATATGTATATATGGAAATTTTGAAGGAAATTTTATATCCAAAATATTTACATCATTATTATAAAAACAAAAAATGTGAACTTATAAGCTATATATATACATATATTTGAATTTTTAGATTATATATTAATTGTTTATATATATATATATTTTCACATTTGTGTTTGTTTTAGACTGGATCAAGAGATGATTTGGATATTGAGAGAGTTTTGAGACCAAGGCTTACAACACCAGATGTCGTCAGGTCAACCTTAATCAGGGTCGACCCTCACTACACAAAAGAAACGATAGATAATCTGTTAGGGGCCCCGGGAAAAATTTTAATTCCAGAAAGATACGTCCCTGAAACACAACCTCAATTGACAAAAGAAGAGCAGAATAAAAGATCAAAAAAAGCTGATGCCATCAGAAGAATGTTATGTGAAACAACTGCTGTTTCCCCAAAAGATAATGGTTAGCAGTTTATTTGTTAATAATTTAGTTATAATGAAAACAAAAAAGGGGAAAATATTTATTTTTTCCTGTTTCATTAAGATTATTGGTGTGAATATTTAATATCTGAGATCCACTTAATATTAGCAATTATGCCTATACCTTGACCAGTTATTGATGGCCTAGCTAAGGAAGAGTGGGGGAGTAGACATAGAATAGAATAGTAGAGGAGTGGTGATGGCCTTTAATTTACTACCTAGGTATAGACATTTTTTTTTTCTGTCTTTCTATAAAATATATTTTTAAAAGATTAAATGTCTGATCTTGTTGAGTTGTTACTCTTCAATAGCATTATATATAATTAAACAATATACTTTTTTTCATGTATTCATTCATTTATAGCAGTTTTTATTTAGATATCCGTGTGTTCTAGATACAGAGGGAATTGAGAATACTTCATTGTTAAGAAGAAAAGTGGCAGAAGAAAAGAAAAATCGTGAGCATTTGTTGCAGCTTAGTCATATTCTAGCTCAACAAGTTATGGAAAAAAGCAAAATTGTTGCAGGTTTGATTTACAACTAGTTTAATTTCAAGTTGTTAGCTAGAGTATTAGTTTATTGAATTTATAATGTTTTGTGACCAAACATACTGTAAACGAAGTTAATAATTAAAATTATATTCTGGAAGTCATTAAAAAATCTTTAAGAAGCAAGATAGCTTTTATAACCTTTTTTTCTGAGGTATGTTAATAAATTTTACGAGTATTTTGGATAAGAATAAAATATAATAATTATACCTTTTTAACATTTAATTATTGTATTTTCTTAATATAGAGTTAGCTTGAAAGCTTTATTGTTACTATAAAGAGCATAGATATTGATATTAGTTGTTGTGAATGTTTATTTTAATAAATTCCACTAGTAACAATCTTAAAGATTAAGATTTATTGCCTGCTTTACATGATTTGCAGTTGTAGACATTATGTTTGTTTATTGTTCTGGAATTGTATTACTTTCTTCCTAACTTTGTGATTTCTCTCTTCCCACCTTACCCCCTCCCAGCTCCCTCTCCAAGTTTTGTCCAACAAGGTCCAAATTTTGTTACTATAAAGTATTCTTACAATTTTTTGAAACCATTTCTAATAAATGATTAAAAAATTAATTATATATAATTATTTAATCATTCCATAAATAACAGAATATAGCATTTCCGGTTTATAATTTCCACATTCTACCCATAAATTAACATTTAAATTGTCATTGCAAATATATACTCTCTTGACTTATTATTTTCAGTTAACACTTCCTTACAATTGAATATAAACAGTTAATTGTTTATATATTAATTTTCTGAAGTTCATATATCGATTCACTTTTTTAATTATAAGTATTTCAAACACTCTAAAAGGATATATGTTTAGGGCTATTTTTTTTTTTTTTTTTTTTTTTACATTTTTAATCATTTTCGTATAACACCTGCAGCAATATTTTCACAATCGATATGAGGTTTGCTCCTTTTTTCTTCAGGAATTTTTCCATTTGTAACCAACTGGCCTTTTATAACTGGATCTACAAATTCTTTTATTCATATCTTTTCTTTTATTACCTTTTACCAGGTGTGTAAAAATGAAACTGGAATTTTCATATAGTATTGACAAATATTTCATTCACAATATTATCCGTCAGTAGCAACACATTTTCTTCATCTCTCTGGCACTTTATGAATGTCATGCCAGAAAAACTGTTGCTCTTATGTGGTGAATCAGTCATCAAACGATTTTCGTACATTTTAATTAGAGGTAAAGTGTGCCCCATTGATGCAAATAAATAGTAGTCTGACGGAGCCAAGTCTGATGATTAAACTGTATGCATGGCATAGTATTTCCCAACTGACCACCTCAGTAGTTTCCTTCACTGGTTTTGCTCTTTTTGATGGTGCATCATCATGATGCAAATTATTTTGTTATGTCTTTTTTGATATTCTGGTCATTTTTCGTTCCACTTTCTTCATTTCTCACATTAAAATCACCGCTTTTGAATTATTATAACTACTACAAGCACTGTAATTTATCTAGAACATGCTTTTGTGTAATAAATATCATTGGTGCAAAGATTAGGTAACACAAAATAGAGAGCAATATGGCATATCATGGCCTTAGTCTACAAAACAAATGTTCACCCTATTATTGAATATGTGGCAGAAACTCATTATCACAGCATCAGACATGACATAACACAAGCTTGGCATGGTCCAATACCAGGCCCTCAATAACTAGCTCTTGAATTAGAAACAGGCATATTTCCTCTTGAGATATGGAGGGAGGAGCAACAGGCCATTACACTTTATGAAAGGCTAAAATGTCTAAACATTTCTTCACTGGTTCTTCTTCACACAGACTACCTGTGCGGATATGAACCCACTGAAACCTTTCTTCAGCTTTCCTGTGAGGATACATGTTCCACCCATGTGTTGATTTGTTTTGCGTTACGACCTCCGAAACGTTTCTAACAGCACATCTCCAATTCACCAGCTCAAGGCAGTATATATTGAAACCGTTATAAAATTGCTCCACATGTACATCCTCACATAACAGGTCATTGTGGACTCTATGAGAATGATGAGGCTGACTGTCTAGAAAACAATTTGGGATCAACTAAGCAGATATTCTTCTTTTCATGGATTCGGCTGAAATAATAGTTAAAAGAGCCCTACAAAGTGCATTAAAGCAGAATAACCCAGAAAATTGAGAAAAAACAACAACAATGGAGTGGACTACTGGAAGAAATTAGCTGGATCTGAAATGATTCCCAGAGATCAGATCAATCACCTGTTTTAGGATGCTCAACAGACACTACTTTCTGTAGAAGCGTCTTACTCACATTGGTGTAACAGGTAGACCAAACTATCATCTGAATTTATTGAACATTATAGCAGTAGAACATCTAGACTTGTGCCTTGTATTATAGTTCACAAGATGAATTTTTTCGGATCTTGACCACCCCTTTGATAGATTTTGGATTGCAAGGCCTATTAAGCAGTATTACTGTTTAGTTGATAAAAGTACGACATTTCTTTCATACTTTCCTTTCTACACAGTTATTTCGCTGGGATCCTTTACTATAGTTCTCCCTTATTTTAATATTTTTATGCATGACATCATTAATTATCTTTCTAATCTGACTGAGGGTTTCCTAGCAGGTATATTTTTCTTCTCAGAACTTATCATTTTTGATATACTACTGATAATGTACTGTTTATATATTTCTTATTATAGTGAATTCTATCACAGTGGACAAGTGCCAAATCATTATGAGTAGCTGAATTTTGAAGGTAGAATGTCTGATAATCAAAGTCCATAAATAATAAAATCTAATCTAATTCAATAAAAGTGAAGTGTAAATTCTTCTTTTAATTCTTGGCTCATTTTCCACTCGAGCACTTAATGATTGAATGTTAGTCTTTCTTATATATCCAAGTATGTTATACCTGCTGCATGATGCAGCAGATCTTTTGTTGATCCATTTCATATTCTTAATGCTTTCTGTGTGCTCCAAAATCTGTTTAGTTTTGTGGGTTTCTGACATTCTGTTGATATGCCCACAATATGTTTCTCTCAGTCTATGTTTCTTCATCTCATGTAATATGTAAGATACCTGTTCAGTCTCTTATTTAATAAGCTATAGCCTTCTTCAGTTTTATTGGGCTCTAGATTATTTTTCTTGATTCTTATCTAATTTCTTTTCTGATGTATAAGATTTTTGGTAATGTCATTTTTTTATTACACGGTGGTCAAGATTAATTGTAGTTGTTTCCTGTCTTTCAGGATGGTCTAGTAATCCTGATTTATCTGTTTTAAACCATTTTGCCAAGATACTTGAATTTGTGAACTCTCTTAAACTGACTATATTGTTTTTATAATGTTTTTTGTGCATATTTGTGGCTTCTTGAAGGTCTGTACTTTAACCTTCTCTTTCAGGAATTCAATTGGCTTTAATGTTGTTTTTGTGTCATATGTGAGTATTGCAAAGTTATCATTGAATATCAAACAGCTGAATTTAGTCCTTTCGTTTTCCTTCCATTTTTAAATACACACTCCTCTCACATAGGTAGAATTTTTTGTTTGTAATTTTTCCGTATCTTTTTTTTTTAACAATTGATATCTTGAATTTTATTTTTTATGTTCATTTTATTTTTAATGTTATGTTTATTATTTTAGTATTGTATGTAATTTTATTTTATCTAGTTCCTTCTGTGTGTTTTTAATATGCATGGTATGCTTAGTTGTGTGCTTTTGATTTTGTAGGTGGAAATTCCACACCTCTGGACTAAATCACAAATGATGGTGTCATAAATTGTATAAAACAGGTTTGTTAATGTTGATCTTACATTATCTCTTTTAGTATATTTGATCAGCACTCTAAAGTGTTATATTTTTTATATTATGATTACATTTTCTTAAAAAAAAAAAATACTGTTTATGTTTAAGACTCATTACATTTACTTTAACTCAAGATAATTAAAATAATTATTTGATCCTAAACCATGTGTACTAGAAAGTTTTTCTGCACTTTTTAAATAAATATTATAAACATAATTTGATTTTTTGTATAGTTACATCATTAAAAAGTACTATAACTAGAAATTTTTTCAAAATTCATATATATATATATATATATATATATATATATATATATATATATATGTACAGAATTTATTTTATCTAGTGAACTTCTCTCTTTTACTTTTAATTTTAATTCTCACCTAGACAGAAATACTTTTTTTTATTGTTATTTAGAAATCTTTAAAAAAAAAAATATTAAGTACTAGAAATAAATGATGTGAAAAATCTTTTACTTGAGATATTTTTTATATTTGATCAAAAAATACAAATAAAAAAAATTCAATTTTGACAGATGGACATGTTTATTAAATTTACCATAAGAAAACATTTTGTGATTCCCAGTTTTAATATGTTAAGAGATTTTATACTAGTTTTTTTTTTTTAGTAATGGCATTAGCATCTTTACCCGAGAAAATAATGGAAGAAATCGATGAAGAAAATGAACCTTCTTCATTTGAGTGTTTACCACTTTACCAGCAAAGAGACAATTTTTTTTCATAATATTTAAAAATGAAAATAATAATTTTATTCAATATTTGTTAATCTTATTGGATTAACAATTTATTGTACAAGTTGTGAATTTTCTAAGTACCTTATTTGAATATTATATATGAACAACATAGTCATTTTTAGTGTTTATATTATCGTCGTAACATAAAATGTATTTATATTAATTTCTTTTGATTTACCAAGCCTAGATGTGATTTTATACATTTATTAATAATGTGATTAATTGTTGATAATTGAAATTTCATGTTAAGCATATTTTTAAACTTTCAATGCTCAACTTTTATGCATCGCATAAATAGATAGACTGATATTAAATGCAAATAAATTTGTAAAGCACTGAATTAGCTCTGTTTTTATGATAAAAAAATGGTGTATTAAATAAAATAAGGAAATAATTCCCCTGTATTATAGTGTATAGTAGACCTTTTTAATGATTAGACTTTTCATTAAAAGTCTAATATCTTATTAATTTTCAGAAGTATATTATGTTTGTCCAAATCATTGAAATAAATGATCTACTAAAAATTAATTTATACTAAGTAAATAAAAAAATAAACAAATAATAAAGTGATATTTTTGTGATGTAATTGTAACCAGTCAAAACACTACACATTACCCTTATTGTTCCATTTAGTTTATAACTATTCTGATATATATATAAATATTTATTTATTTTGTCTATTATAAACATTTTTTATTTAAATTTTTGAACAGCTAATGATTATATGTCATCAAAATATTTTTTCCCCTCTATAATCTAATACTGAATCATCAATTTTAACTGGATTTAAAAAAGAAAAATAACATCTTTAGCCACTTGAGGTATTTCAAAATTTTTTTTTATTTCTTTTTTTAACAAAAGCATAGCCAATTTTAGACAATCAGAAGAATATATTAAAGCAATAGTAATGGTTGATTATTAAAACATGGTTTACTAAAATATATATTGATAGCTGGAAAACAAAATTTATTCAGCATTATTCTTGAGGATCAAATGCTTAGCTCAAATTTGTATTAATAGAATTTAGAATTAACCAGTAGGTAAGACTCCGTTCTTCTGATTATGCGAAGTTGTATAGTCAATATAAAAATTTAGTATTCTCCTTTAGTTTTCTAATTCACCTAATTTATCTCTTGAGGGTTATTTATCAGAAATCAATTCATATTTGTTAAATGGAACAAATTATGTTTTCTTTTTTTTACACACTGTTGGCCATTCTTATTATTAAATTTTGAACTAAATTATACTTTCTATAACACTATTGGAAACTATTATGATGTAATAAATGATGTTCTGTAATTCATTGGTCTTTTATTTTTATATACCTTCTTGAATATACAGGGGTGTCCCATAAGTAAAAGTCAATATTTAAAGGAGTGATAACAGACCTCAAAAACTACAAAAAAATTCAAATGAACCATGGTCCGATTTTCTGCAGGAAATTTGAGCTATTTTTAAGTAAGCCACGTTTTTGCTTGAATAAGCAATATTTAGAAAAAAAATGAATTTAGGTAATTATCAATTATTTCATTGAAAACATAATAAAATTTATTTCAATTGAAAATAGATTTTATCTTTGTTATTACCATTTAAGGGAACTTCTTTTAAAGGCTTAAACTAGGCAGAGTTCTGTGGGAATGGAATATTCGTAAATTTTTTTTATCACTCAAGCTAGACTACAGTCACCCACTTGTAGAACTTCTTTTTTTAATACTTTAAGTCCACATTAATTAAGTGAAGTTTTATTCCAAAATAAGTTAAACTCACCCTAGTTTAGTCGCTTAAAAGTTTTCTTTAAACTGTTTTACCAAAGAAAACCTCTGTTCTCATCTAAAGTAAATTTTGTCTAGTTTACTGTAAAACAATTGTTAATTACATTAATAATTTATAACAATATTACATTTAACAATAAATTAAATGTTTTGTTTTTTTAATTATAGCTTCCTATTCAAGAAAAAATGTAACTTACTTAAAAAAAAAAAAATCCAAATTTCCTTCTTTTCTGAGGAAAAAGGAAAATTGGACCATGGTTTATATGAACTTCTTTGTAGGTCTTGAGGTCTACTATGATCCTTTAAACATTTCCCTTAACTTATGGGACCCATTGTATAATTAAAAAATAATTTATGGACTGTTAACCTTTTCTTGTCCTTCCGTTCCTTGTCTTTTAGGATACATGGGGTTGGCCAGAGGGAGAGGGCGGGGAATTTAATGCCAGAGTTAAGAGGCATTGGAACGTGAACTTGTAACTATAATTATAATATAAATATTCAAATTATCTTCCATCTGATTGCCAGGCAATGCAGTGCTGTGCACACGCGTTTGTCCCCTTGGCCACACTGCTCCCCATTGACTGTTACCTAACAATTATGTTTTTAAACTTATAGCTTGAACGCATTATACATAATTTAAATATCTTATGTAACCTCATAACAACATATTACATAATTTTATGCTGTTATCATTAGGTATGTCACTATAAAAACTGTTGGGAAGGGATGAAGGGTGCCCATCCCCCTCAAAATGGATGGTGTATAAACCATCACACTTTCCATGATATTGAATTGCACACCAGCGCTTGTCACCCACTTGCCATGTTATATCTTTAAAACAGTTGATCATAAAAAAAAAAAAATGAATAAGTCAAAACTTTTAGAAAATTTCATTTTCGACAAGTTATATAATGCTCCCAAAAGAGATAGGGAGCATAGAAACCAAGAAATGCAATATTTCAGTCTTATATTTTTAATTCCGAGGTTTGTCCTTTTTTTTTAATTTGATTTGACTGGGCTAAAAAGAGGTGTTGAACATTTCAAGACATCCATCAACACCATCTACCAAAATGTTAATACTGCAAGCCAGACCCATTAATATGAAAGATAAATAGTAAGCTTGGCTAACATTCAAAATTAGTCAGCCCTAAGATTCACATAATAAAAAATAAAACTATTGATCTCATTCAATGGTTAGCAAGATACAGTTGAATGAATTGGTACTTAAACAGATTCAAACTTAAGAACATTAAGCTGGAGTAAAACTTGTATATGATGGCATAAGCAACTAAGTATTATCACAGGTTACAAGGAGTTAATAGTAATGGCAAACAGTGGAGATTCAGGTCCCAGAAATAGGTATCTAGATGAACTATCACTACTTAGTAGACAAATAGGTAGTTATCAGTGTCTAAATTGATAGTAGTAGAGAAAATCATTAGGACATTAACACCTTTAGTCCTTTTTTCTTCCATCCCTTCTCTCTCTATTACTAATTAATGTGCTTAATATAAATATCATTAATTAACAAGGAAAATATATTTTTTCAGTTAACCATATTTTTGCTTCTTCGCTAATTAAAGTATGGACACTTCATGCTCATGTAGAATGTGAAAATATTTTTTTTGCCCTCAAAATCCAAAATTTATCCTAAAATCTAAAACGATTTTAGATAACAAGGAATAAATTTGGTATTGAGTCAGTCTGTAGTTAAAACCATTTGATTGGCATAACGCTATGGTTGATTTGATTTTGATGATGTTCACAACGATAGTACGGGTCGGTGGTACCTAGATAGTTCCATATTATTTTTTTTAAATTCCATCAACTATTTTTGAGTACAGATTTGCAAACTATTTAATATAAATATCATTAATTAACAAGGAAAATATATTTTTTCAGTTAACCATATTTTTGCTTCTTCGCTAATTAAAGTATGGACACTTCATGCTCATGTAGAATGTGAAAATATTTTTTTTGCCCTCATAATCCAAAATTTATCCTAAAATCTAAAACGATTTTAGATAACAAGGAATAAATTTGGTATTGAGTCAGTCTGTAGTTAAAACCATTTGATTGGCATAACGCTATGGTTGATTTGATTTTGATGATGTTCACAACGATAGTACGGGTCGGTGGTACCTAGATAGTTCCATATTATTTTTTTTAAATTCCATCAACTATTTTTGAGTACAGATTTGCAAACTTCTTTTCCTTGATGACCATTATTTTGAAAATGGCTTTTCCAATTTAGCCCATAGTTGGAGATCATGCAAAAATGGTCCAGTATGAAATTTATTGAATTCTATATAAATAGTATAATTTTTAGAAGATATGTTTAAATAAATAATTAAAACATCTTAATTACATATCAGTTGTTGGTATTGTTTTTTCTTAGGTACCCTATATAAATAGTCAAGAAGTAATATTGACATACTTGGAAGACATTGTTTTAAAAAGTTTCATAGACCGAGGAAAATCATTTATAAAATTTCCCTGTAAATCTTGCTATCTTACAGTAATAACTGTGAGGTATTGAGAAATGAAACAATATAATAGTAACAGTAAATATAAAAAATAAATAATGTTTTAATGGATAAAAAAATAAAACTATGATTTATATTATATTAAAATATGAAAAAAACAGTACATAAGAAACTAATATTAGGATACACTCAGTACAACAAATATTATAAACTAACAAATGTAACAACATTAGATAAGTTCAGAGAAAACAAAATACACAATTCAATGGTTTGAGTCAGGTTTTTTTATTTAATATTTATTTAACACATACATTTATCATGATTAATGATCAACATTTTTCTTAAATGTTATAAAGCTACTAGGTACATTGTAAACATTTTATAACAAGTAATATAACAGGATAAATATAAAATAAAAATAACATAAACATTTTTAATATTTATGATCATGTCAACACTGATAAAAAACACTTATGAAAAAAATTGACGTTTATTAAATACCTGTCTTAAACATCTGATTGTTATTGATATGATACGTCAGTTTTGGGAGTGGCATAAATAAAACATGATTGCATATAATATCGACTGAACAATCTGTAAATAGAATGGGATTTTAATTTTGAATATAAGAATTAGCCGATATTCATGTATAACTAATTATTTATTTATTTATTTATTATTAATAACGAATTATTATTCATTTTGCGATTGATCAGAGCTTAAAACTTTAAGTTTTTCAGAACCTACAAAATGCATGAACTAATTATCTGTTTTCAAGAGTTTGGACTATGTTTTAAAAAGCAGAATGTTAAAAACTGATCACACAAAGAAAGAAATATTGTGAAGAAAATAACTTGCTTTTAATGGGAATAAATTTCATAAAACCTTGACATAACAGAAAAACTGCAGAAGGTTGTTTTAAATGAATGAGGACAGTAAAGGAAGCCAAGACCATCACAGCACCATACTATTTAGATAACCTTAGTAGAAATTTTATTATATAGTTTTTCATTTAATTATATATACATAAGGAGTGACATCTCAATAATCCAAACTTCAATGCTCCAATAATTCAAATTGTCCTCCTCCCATCCTTTAATAAAAATAGAATGACAGAAAAGCACTAAGACACAATTTCTCATTTCAATTACTGCATTTGATTGGCAATGGAGAACAACATGCAATGACAACAAATTCTTCTACACCTAAGAAGAGCAGTGGAAAATATCAAAACTAAAAGAAATGACTAAGTTATATAAAAAGAAAAAAAATATTTTCTTATAAAATAAATGTTTGTAATTAAGTATACACTATAACATTTAATAAAGACTTTTTATTATTGAATTTTGATCTTTAATTGACAGTAGTTTTTCCAAACAATAATCTGAACATTTCGGTAATCTAAACACCCTCCCCCCACCTCACCGAAACAATAACTTAGGATTACAGAGATAGCACTCGAATATACATTTTTTTAAACGCCCTCTGTATAAGTCACTCTGTAAATAAGAACAGTTCATAAATAAAAGATTAAAATAAGTTTTATTTATGAAACCCTAAAAAACTGACATCTCATGTGATACAATCACATCAAACCAATGCGTTTAATAATTACATGAGGCAGATTTCTTTTTTAACACAATATCCTTTATGTTTAAATGTACCTTCTCTTTTCTTTCAGGAGGAATTGACTGTAAACAAAACCTTTTGAATGCTTCCAACTCTCTTTCAGTTTCATCAATTTCTCCATCGTCAAGATCAATGTCCTTTGGTGCAAATACACTATCTGTAACAGCAAATTAAAATTATAGGAAAATAAAAGTTTAATATAATTTGCATTTATTTAATTATACACAAATCATTAAATAATTCAAGACAATACAGTTTGAACGAGAATTGGTTCTAAGAAGAACAAGCAACAAGAAAAAGATTCAATGAAAAACAATGAGAAGTTTACAATCAGGTAGGCAGTTTTAAATACAACCAAGTTTAAGAGGCCAAAAAGTCATCATTTTGAAAGTCCCATTGAAAATTCAACACCAGTCCTTAAAACCCATTTAGACTCACTCATCAACGAAGATGGATCATAGATAAAATTATTATTGCCAGTCTTCTAGAGGATTGATCAATAAATAATATATACTAATAGTACATAACCAACAAGACAATAATTGTATGCCTATACTATGAAGTGCGGGAGCGGAAGAGGGTCATACCTAACTCGGAGGTCTCAACCAACCTTCAACTTCACCTCATCCTCCAGACAGGACAAAGAGATTCAAGTCCCAACCAATGCCCACGGAGCGGACGAATCCTACTATAGAGCTTTCAACAGATCTTCAGCACACTAGAACCAGATGGCTGGCCGGACTAAAGTCACGACCAGCACAACACTGGTATTGTACAGTGAGCAGTCGCAAACACATGACTACTACGTCAGCCACAGCCAAGCAGTGTCAAGCACTCTTGCTGTCCACCCATAGTGCACCCAGGGCCCCTGCGACACCCCGTACTACCAATTCAATCAGATTGAAAATTTTCAACCTGACCTCAGAGCATGATTCATCACATGTTCCACGATCATTCATAAATGAACGATCGCTACAGCTTGACATCAACCACTAATGACACAGGAGGGTTTCTGTACATCCATGGTCGATGAGGGACGACAAGAACCAAGGGCCCAAGTAGTTAATCGTCCCAGGAACCAACACAGACAGAAAAAAGGCAGAAAAAGAAAGAAATAATATATACTCCCAATATATTAAGACTCACTTATTTACACTTTTTCAATACACTCAAGGAGACAAATGTTGCAGCTCACTTATTTACACTTTTTCTAATACACTCAAGGAGACACATGTTACAGGCAACAACATAAGATTACATACTTTTGGTGCTAAAAAACAAATTTAGTTTTATCAGGAAAATGACCCCAAACACTCTGTCATGTTAGTTAACACCTTGGCTGCAGATGGGATACCTGTCTTCCCAGCTGGTAGTTAGGTTACTGGGGTGGCCGGGATACATGCTTTCCTGCCTCGGCTATCGCCACTTGTAGCGGTAGGAGAAAGCCCCGCTTCCACCGTTCAGCTTTTGGCTTGATCCGTGCATTCATTAGTCCCCTTAAGCTTACTCAGTTTGGTCGTTCAGGTTTCCATTTGTTGGAAATCAGTTGCAGATTTATTCTGAACCCAATATTAAATAAGAAGGTCTTAAATGCATTTTTGAAAGCTAATATCTTTCAGGTTGACTCAAAATAGTATTTTAAGCTAATTTAAGAGGAAAAAAAATCTGTTTTTCTGAATGTCTTTTTGGATTTCGGGACCCATCATCGGAAAGAAACACTCGTTATGAGGTCTTGCAGTCAAAGGGTTAAGGAATGGATACTTTACAACTGTCCCAATGTTATAAAAACTCTACTACAGTCACTGGATCTGAATGTGAAAGAAGACTGTGGGCAAAATTGGAGGTAGAAATTAGAAAATACAAAATTTCTAACATAGAAGACTTATAAAAGTATTTCCTCGAAGAATGGAACAGAGTAAACCTGGAATCACCAAAACATTGGTAGACACCTGCTATGTATTGAACATAGCATTAAGTTTTTAAAATTATAATGAGGTGTAGAAAACACAGGTGTACGAAACCGACTTCTGACATCAAAAACAGTGTCAAGGTGTTGGAGCAGGTAGATAAGGACCGAAATGTACCTGGACCCTGCGGAAGGCTTCGAGTAAAAACTAGTAACGGGCTTAGCAACTGGTTCCTTTTAGGGTATTACCAATTATTGTGAAGTGATAGGGTGAAGTTAGGAACCAATGAGAACCATCCTTGCCCCACCCTGAATATTTGTATAAAATCTACCGAGAAGGAAGAAAAGTGGTCTTATGTGGATTTTCGGCCTGGAGGATAGGTCAGATGTTTTCTTCCTGCTTGGGGAATGAAGCTTTGGCCCAACATAGACCACACAGATGGGCGTCTTGGAGAAGTTTTTGGACCTGGCCTTGAAAAGTTGACCTCAGATCAGCAGATGCAGCAATGAAATCTACCAAACACACCACTCCATATACAAGAGATAAGTGTTATTCCCAACAATAAATTTACCAATGTTAGAATATTTCATGACAATACAACTCTCAAAACAGTCCACATGAAATCATGCCTTCACAGTTAATTATTGAATTCATTGAATCAGGTATTTTGTTCTTGTAAATATAATTTGTATATATTCTTTATTAAACATAGAAATAAATTAAGTTTTTTAGTTAAAGTTGTTTTAATTCTGCCACCTATTTATATCATGATGATCACAGGTAATGTGTGTGTTAGAAAGCATGATTAACACAAACCAGCCTTTGAGAAAATAAATCCAATTAATTAACCACGGACCAAATTTATTATAGATCCAAATTTGTTTAACTAATCTTTTATTATTAAAAAATTCTGGATAATTATCATCAATAATCATCCAGTGGCATCCCGAATAAAATTAAACACCCCAAAACGTAGCACACCATTACAAACAGACTGAAAGGAATTGTAGAAAATAATGGCTTGCCTATAAGGCATTGAACTATATTAATAGTATTTAAAAGTTAATAAGAAGTGAGATGTATCATTTTGACTCTGAAGTAAAATTATTAAAATTTTATTTTATTATTTATTTAAAAATAATCACAGTTGAATATTTTAATCTTATAGAGTTTGTACATATTTAAACTGAGATTATAAATAAATCTGTTGAAGAGTTTCTGGTTACCATTTAAGTTTTTTTTCTATGGGGTGTATCAATTTCACTGTGAGCCATTGGTTGTTGAGGTTATGAACATGTCACAAAAACATGCTTTACATTAACAAAATTAATAACTTATTTTTCTTATTTTTTTCAATCAATAGCCATCACAACATATTACTGTGAATTTCAGGAAACTAAAACACACATGTGCAGACACACTCACACACCATCTATAACTTTTTTTTTTCAAATAACTCAATCAAAGAAGACAACAAACAATTTGTATATTAATATGAAATATACAGATGATCTTATTAGATTAGTAAAATTTTAATTACCCAACAGTTTCCATTCTTCAGGATTGATGGAATTGTTTGAAATAGTTTTTTTTGCCTTCTTCTTTCTCTTTTTACTTTCACCTTTATGATCATAAGTCTTATTATCATTGTAAGGACTGATGGTAAGTACAGACATTTGGTTAACAAGCTCTTGATCTTTGTCAGTATCAATAATTTTAATTGGTTGGATTTCAAGTCCAGGGTATGCTGGTGTTTTGCCGGTAGATATTACAGAGTTATTTGTTGATATATCAGATATGTTTTTCTTCTTGTTTTTTTTCCTTTTTCCAGTTTGCCCATCTGCTATTGATTCTGTAAATACAAATTATATTTTAAAAATAATATAATCCATTAAATTATAAATATATATATATACCTTTGAAGGTGAAAATAGCCTACAACTGTATGCAATTTATTGGGATGTGGTGAGAGGGTGCACGGTAGGGGGGTCTGGCCAAGCGCGTAACATACTTTACAAAACATCTCCTGACTATCATTTACCATTCCAGTCAATGGCTTATTATCTTCAAGGAAAACCTCCGAATTCTCTTAACCAGGTTCAAAATAGAGTGATAGAATTCTTCCGTTCAAAACTGAAAGAGCACTATTGTGAAGAAATTAAAATGGGCAAATTTTGAAAGCTCGATAGTTTGCTTTGTGTTGGGTTTAGAAAAAAATGTGATGTACAAAAATTTTAAACAATTTTTAGTTGTTTAAGATTGAACATAAACATTTTTATCTATGCTGCTCTAAACAGGAGATATTTAGCGTAAACCATAAAAAGTTCGAAATTTCAATGGTTTTTGGAGTTGTGCAGCGAACCCACAAGGATTTCAAGGGCAGAAACTTGGATTTTTTATATTCACTGCATATCTAGCAATATACTTCTTCCTTCTATAATCTTCCTACCCAGTATTTCCAGTTCCATCTGATGAATTAAACTTTTCATTTTCCTCCTCTAACACTACTTCACCCTTCTTTTCCATATCACCTTCATTTAACAGTGATAATTTTAATTTCTCCTACTGATTTTATTTCCTCAATTTTCACTTATCAGCTCTATTAAATTTACCCATAAAATTGTTATAATTATATCTTCCTGAAATTTTTCCTGTTTTTCTTTTCATCTATAATGTTTTTCATCTAAAATTAACAAAAACCCCAACCCTATATCTAAAACCAACCCTAAACACTGCTGTCCAATATCCTTCCTCTAACTTTTCCAAACCTTTAGAAAAGATAATTAAATCTCAAATATCAAGTTTAAATTACTCATTCCTCTCCAATCTTGTTTCCATCCAAGCTGTTTAGGGTTGATCACCCTAAATTGATGTTACTCCCCCCCCCTTCATGGGGTACATGTAAAGGACCAGCCAAGTAGGTAACACTGCAGCGACGGTGGCGCTGTATGCACCAAAACTAGTGGTAGTAAGAGAAAATGGGCAAATAAACCACACGAAGTAGACGAATACTCCCCTCTTCAAGCTTAGGAATTCATACTCTGTTCTACCATGGGAAGAGGCATGGAGTAGAACACCGTGAGACCTACTGGACAAATGGAGGTGAAGAAGTATTGCAACCGGCCAACCACCGATACCGACCACCGTACCTCAGACATCAAGTAAACGATTGTAACCATTATACGCCAAACCCCCATCTTTATATACTGTTTAAATATAATTATAGTTCATTTCATACAGTCCACTTGTTCATTTCAAAGACCCAATCATCTGTACCGTGTCATATTAAAAATGATGGTACATCCCATTTCACAAGCTTTTCCACAAATTCTGCTCTCTTCAAAATCACAAATGACATACATACAGAACATACTGCTATGAATGAAAAACAAATTAACATCTGCTAATACTCCTTGACTTTTCTGAACTTTTGTTTCCTTTGACCATAATAATATCCTTTTCATTAAATTAAAATCACTATCGAATACTCAATGGTTGACCCTAGTATAATATTGAGAAAAGAGACGGCCTGAGGTGGTAATCATAAAAAAAAAAAAAAAACTTAAAATAGTGAAAAAAAGTAGTTTTTCACTATTTTTTATGATCCTCACCCCGGACCATCTCTTTCCTCTAAACTCACTATCCTTCTGCAATAGCTCTATTTTTTGCTTGAGGAAAGAGATGGTCCGGGGTAATACAAATATTTTATTTTAAGCCACTGTGTCAGCCTAACTATGTAAGGATATGGTAGGATTGGAATTTCATGCAAAACTGAAAAATAAAATAATTTTTATTAGATAACTTAAAAATAGTTTATCACCATTTTAAGTTTTTTTATGACCACCACCCCAGACCATTTCTTTCCTCAATATTATATTACGGTCAACCATTGAGTATTCAATATTTTTTGTTAGGTTTATATCTTTCAGGTCGAACTGGAATGCTGACGACTCCCAAATTTATCTATCCTTTCCTCCTTCTGAGTTATTAGTAGAGTTTGTCAATATTCAGGAAGACCTAGATAAGATCAGTGCCCAGGGAATTTAGAATAAATTAAGGTTATGAAATTGGTACAGGTTTCAATCCTTTCCTCAGATCTAACACCACCTTTCCCTCTTTAGTCATAAGAAATATCCTATCCTTTTCACATTTTATGTTAAAAATATAATAATGCCTAAGTTATTATTGACAAAAACCTCTCCTGGAAACCCAAAAGATATTAAATGGTTCCCATAATTTTCCACAACCTATCACATTTGTACTCAAGGACAGAATGAAGCAAATCATGTACTGCTTATTAAGCTTTGTACCTTGAGATGGTCTCATGTGTCTCACCTTTATGACAATTGAAAGTGACTTTTTCCCTCCTTCAGCCGACAATACTAGGATCTTTCCAAACTATCAATTCCCAGCATCCATTGATAACAAATAGATTATATATATGGTCTGTCTCCAACGATTACATTGAAAATATGATATAGTATTAAATAAATTCACCTTTTAAAATGGAATCCTTCCTTTTGCCAGTTGATACAACTATTACTTCTGAAGGGGGCCTAACCTGATTAGAATTACTTTTCTTAACATTGTTTTCCTAAAAACAAAAAGTTATCTTTAAAAGAATATTAGAATACTTATAATCAATATTATTTATTGAGAGCATAAATATATTTAAACTTAAAGTACCTAATAAGAATGTCCATGAAGTTAAAAAATAAATTAAAATACAATGATATCTATAAATAATTACCCTAAATATATAAGTGTTTGGCACCATCTATACGAATTACAAGAAAGTTAACAATGAGCTACATATTGCGATGACAAACCAAATCAAAACATCTATATTTAATAACATAAAATATATCTTTATCGGTTGGCAAGGCAGAGGAAGGGCACAGGGGAAGTAAAATATTTATGGTTTGGCAGAGATGATGAGACAATGGCATGCCAATCATCATTATCAACAAACCTGAAAAAATAGATGTGTTCCAATGAAACGTACACAGTCGTTACCTCTTTGTTTCATGTTTTTTTAATAATTATGTTTCTAAAAGGGTTATTATTTTATTATGATGAATATTCTTAGTTTTATCATATTATATTAATTCTCTACTGCAATCAGTCATACCTTATTGGTATGATGTAAATGGGGTAGGGTTATCATTGCTATGCATGGTTGGTATTAGTTGCCTCTAGTACACTGACAGGGTTAACATAACCGAGGGGAGAGGTAATGTAAGGAGAATCTTAGGCTACATAGCTTTTAAAGTAAGTACTTTAAAAGCTATGTAGCCTAAGATTCTCCTTACAATTACCTCTTAATGTAGTAAGTACTACATTTAGCATTGCTTAACTTTGATTAGCTATTGCAACAAGTGCCTTAGACTACACCACTCCTCCATAATATACACACACACACTGGACCAGATCTTCATTTGAAAACAGGCGTTAAGGGTGTACTTTATATGGCTGCAAAACGTAGACACTAACCAGCACTCTAGAAAGAAGCATTGAAAAATTTAAGAGGAAAATCCTCTGCAAGATAACCTGAGAGATCTGGGATCAGAGTAGTAACGCATGGATGAGAAGGACCAACATAGAACAGCCAACAGAAACTGACTATCTCATGATATGAAGACAAGAACGTTAAGATAGGTAGAGCATGTAGCGAAAATTCATTAAAAAACCTCTACACAATTACGAATGCCTCAATAGTAAGCATGAGACCACAAGGACAGGGAATAAAAGACAAAATATAAATACAAAATAAGATGTAAAAATCACACTAAAACATTTATTTACATGACACTATTCTGTCATTAATAATGCTGTTCAGAGTAGTGCCATAATCAGATAAAAAATCCTGATTTCAAACGAGGATTTACATATTGAACGGAACAAATAATGCTGAACAGGTACTTAAAAACAATAATAGATTGAGATAAGATGACAATGTTAAAAAACAACAACAAATAAATAGAAAGTGAAAGGTTTAAATTTAGTTTTTGACACTTAGTAAGATGTAAGGAAGAAACAAAGTGGTAGATTTTTAACCAACTTCTTATTAAAATCATACAAGGTTACAGAGAAAAAAAAAGTTAATAAAAATCAATGACTAATTAAAAAAAAAAGTAAACAACCATCACAAAGCTTTAGAAAAAAAAAACTGAATCAAACACATTTTATGCCTTGTCAAATTAGACATTTTATAAATTTACAAACCTGTATCTTAGTATTCCTTGCATGAATGCTAGCTGGATCAACTTTTGTAATTGTAATCCCGGGAGGTAGTTTAATGTCAGCTATGTTAAATGCAGGTGAAACTTTTTTTGACATACTATTAATAGCATTATTAATCTGAATTGATGTAGGATTACTTAAATCTTTAACAAACTTTCCATTCTGCGGGGCTGATTGCACATTTTCAGATTTTACAATATCTTTTTTATGTTTTTCAGATTTTATTTGATCATTTGGAATATCTTTGAATTTTAAACCAGAATTGGAAGAATTATTGGTCTTCAATGTATTTGAGTTTTTAACAGAACTAGTAATATTTTTTTTATCACTTGGAACGTCCTTCACTTTACAAACTGAAAAAAAATATATATACATTAATGACATCAGACCAAGTACAAATCATGCTGATTATTATGATTACTAAATATGTTATTATTTATTTCCTAACAGAACAATATAATACATATGCTAATGTCAAGATATTTAATGATCCTGGATATTTGTTTTATTTGGATTTTATGATAAAGTAAATATCATTAAATTGTTAACCCATTAAGCACCAAGCACTTAATTTGTGTACTAAGTCTTTGAAACAAATTTTGAGATTTCAGAATAAAACAATTTTTTCATATTTAAATTACATCGAAGAATCAGAGGATAAATAATTTCAATAAGTTCCTAAAATACAAGATAAATTCATATCAAAATAAGGAAGAGGGCTAAGCGCAAAAAATGCAAACTTAGTTTTTATAAATTCCAAGTTTTTCAGAAGGAAAGAGTTTTTTTTTTAAATTATTTAAATAACATAGATATAATATATATTTAAATCAATCACAAATTATAATATAATCAATAGATTTCAACCATCCATCTCTACAGCTAAGGACTCACCTCACCAGAATCTCAGATATTCTCACTCCCAGTCTTCCATCAGTAAGAAGCAACCTCAATGTCAGGCGCCTCAGGCCTTCCAATCCAAGCCCCAAATCCCTAATACTCAGCCTCAACCTCCTCGCCAGCAAATCCCTCCTCATCATTTACCTTTAAGAGTCAAACTCCCGCCAGAGCATCCACATCCAGCTCCATTCGTTCCTAATCCCGCCCCTCTACAAGTCCAACAGAATTTAGATCCTCCTTCTCCTCGTACCCCACGACGGGCCCATCCCCCACCCAACATTCCTAGTCGCATAACCTACCCATCACAACCTCCTGATCCAAACCCACTTCCCAGCCAAACACCATCCGACATCAACACTATCTTATCGTCATTCCTGATAGATCTTCAACAGACTATCAAACCGCTCATAACCCTTCTAACCAGACTCCTTTCCGAAATCCCGCTTAGCTTCCCTCGATGAACACAAAGCCCCTAGCTATTCTCATATGGAACGCTAATGGACTGCAAAACCACCGTGACGAACTAGACATATTTCTCCATGACAATTATATTGATATTGCACTCCTAACAGAAATTCACTTCACCCAACGGACACATTTCTACATACGTGACTATATCACCTATAGATCTGACCAACCAGACAACACTGCCCACGCCGATTCTTGCATCCTTATCAATAAATCTGTACCCCATTCCCTTATTCCTTCCATTCCAACAGATGCCATTCAGTCAACTTCTGTAATCCTCTCAACTCGTCCTTTCCATCTAACACTTTCAGCTGTATACTGTCCTCCTGGCAATTCCCTCTCGTACAGCCTACTTGAATCCTTTTTACAATCCCTCGGATCGCGCTTTATTGCTGGAGGAGACTACAATGCTAAACACCAACGATGGGGTTGTCGATCATCCAACTCCCGTGGTAATACCCTTTCACAAGTTTCTTCTTCCAACAATTATTCCATCCTCTCGCCCATGAATCCTACTTATTTTCCAACATCCCTCAAAAAATGTCCTGATATCCTGGACATATTTATCATCTCACAGATTTCCTCCTCCCAAACTATAATCAAATCCCTGGATGACCTTTCTTCAGACCATAGTCCAGTTCTGCTTTCACTACATTCTGACTCCTAAACCATCACTTCCTAAACTGATCACTGGACGAGTAAACTGGGACAAATTTCGTGATGATTTGAAAAACAAACTAGACCTCAAAATCCCGCTAAAGAAAAAAGAAGACATTAATGGTGCCATAGAAAAACTGACATCATCAATAACAGACAGTATAAATAATAACACCTTTATCAATAAGATTAACTTCCCACAAAATACTAACTTGCCACAGCATATTCGTATCTTATTACAGGAAAAACACAGAGCAAGATCGAAGTGGTATAGGACTAGATACCCAACAGATAAATCGCATTACACACAACTGACTAACAAACTGAAATCAGAAATTAGAAAATACAAAATTCAAAATTTACTAAATTTTACTGAAAAACTTACAACCACTGACAAATCATTATGGATGACCACCAAAAAACTTCTTAAGTTTCAAGACTTTAATCACCCACTACTTACTGATTCCCAAACCTGGTCCAAATCCGACGAAGAAAAAGCCCAACTATTTGGTCAACATCTCTTCCAAACTTTTAATCCACATCCCGATATCCTTAATTCAACTCACATCAATTGTATTGAAGCAGAACTGGATATTCCTCTCCAAATGTCTCTGCCACCCAAAGCATTTCATCCCATAGAAATATCCAACATCATTCAAAAATTACCTTCCCGTAAAGCTCCTGGACATGACCTAATTACATCCCAGATCCTAAAACTTCTTCCTCGAAAAGCCATCCTATTCCTTACTTACATATATAATGCTGTACTCCGTTCTACATATTTTCCTGATCTTTGGAAACGATCTATTGTTAAAATGATCCACAAACCCAAAAAACCACCAGAATACCCATCCTCTTACCGTCCTATCTCTCTTTTACCCATCATGGGCAAAATCCTAGAAAAACTCATCTTAAAACGCCTGTACCCTATCCTAAATTCTAAACACATAATCCCAGATCACCAATTTGGTTTCCGAACTTCCCATTCCACTATACAGCAATGTCATCGTGTGGTAGACGTAGTCTCCTCTGCATTGGAGCGCGGAATGTACTGTACGGGAGTCTTTCTCGACGTTGAACAGGCGTTTGATAGAGTTTGGCACCCGGGACTGCTGTACAAACTCCGAAAATTCCTACCACCTACATACTTCCTCATTATCCGTTCCTACCTTACTGATAGATACTTTAAAGTAAATCACAATAACGCCTATTCATCCCTTTTTTCCCAGTCTGCTGGTGTTCCTCAAGGTAGTATCCTAGGTCCTATCCTCTATACAGTTTATACAGCTGACATCCCTACCTGTCCCAACACTGTCATCACCACATATGCCGATGACACATGTATCCTATCAGTAAACAATGACCCAGCAATTGCATCCCAAATGCTTCAATCACACATCATAAATCTAGAAGAATGGTGTCAAAACTGGAGAATTAAAATAAACTCCAATAAATCCCACCAAATTACCTTTACCCTTCGTCGTAAACCAACGACTTCCTGTCCTACAGTTTCCTTTAACAATACTCCACTTATCCCTGTTGAGCAAATCCGATACCTAGGACTCCACCTGGACAAACGACTAACTTGGAATCCTCATACTAGACTGAAACGACAAGAAACCGCTCGACGTTTCCGATTACTTCAGCACTTACTAGACAAACGCTCTAAACTTCCCATTAATTACAAAAGACTCATATACTTGACTATAATAAGACCTATTTGGACTTACGGAGTTGAGCTATGGGGCTCCACTAAACCATCGAATTCCTCTCGCATCCAATCCTTACAATCCAAAATCCTTCGTAAAATCCTCAATGCTCCTTACTTTGTCACTAATAAAATTATCCATAAAGATCTTAATGTTCCTTATGTTTCAGATCTGGCCCAATCCAGATACCTATCCTTCCATAATAAACTTCAGAATCATCCCAACCCTCTCGTTTCTAACCTTGCTTCCTCTTCAATTCCTGATAACCCTCCGAGGCGTCTGAAAAGAAGATGGCCCCGTGATCTCCTAATGTAGTCATATCATTAGAGTGCTACCATTGGGTAGTTACTCAGCAAGTGTATTCATGTCATTATATCAATTATGTCCAAATTTACTTGATGTATTTATGTAATACAGTTGTAAATGTCATAAAGAAATAAAACAAAAAAAATGAAAAAAATCAATAGATTTACCTTGTCCATTAAGTAAAGTATAAAGTACTCTATCTTGATTAGGCGTAGCACCACGTAATGTTATAGTAACTGTAGGTTCTGAATTGTGAGGTTCCATAACCCTTTTGATAGTAACCATTTGTGGTGCTGGTTTGTTGGTAGAAACTGAAGACTTACTGGTTTGAACTAGTGTATGACCATTTTTAGATTTTTTTTTATGTTTACTAGTATTAAGTTTTTCTTTTTCTTCTGCTTCCTTAGAAGCTAAAGCCTCTTCTCTTTTTTTTTGTTCTTCTAAAAGTCTTGCTTTTTCCTCCTCTTCACGTTTTTTTCTATTCATCAAAATTCTCTGAAAAACGAAGTCAAATTACTGAAAATGATAAAAATATAGTTTCACTAATTTGCTGCAGCCTTGGTTAAAAGAAGTCATAATAATAGTTAAATGAAAAGTATCAAATCTAAAAGGAATAATAAAATATGCAAATAATAGTTGACCATGTTTAATGAATTCTGACAGTGTTCAAACAGGGTGGCTACCAAATTTTCAAAGTAAAATTCCCTGTTTAATGAAAGTTTTCCCTGACCAATATGTCAAGAGACACAAATGTTAAAAATATATAGTTTATAATTAATTAATTTATAACTATAACTATATATATAATTTATAACTATTTAATTTATCATACATGATTGAAAATTGAAAGATTAGAGTAAAAAAAAGTCAATTCAGTCTTTTAAAAAACAAATATAATGTTCAAGAGGAAGCATTTTTTAAACATGATTAGTTTTTTTTTTTTCTATTTTAGAAAACTGACCTTAAGTAATTTATTTTTATCGCCTATTTACTAACACTTTAAGCACTTTATTTTCATAAAGAGAATGTAAAAGTTGATACTTGATGCTTTTATCTATTATGAAACAAACTGAGCTATGGGCTATTCTTATTTTAATGTAAGGCAATTTAGTTTTTTTATTGCCACAAACAGAACAATAATTATCCATACGATACTAACTGTGAGGCGAGATGGCAGAGTAGTTAAATTAATGAATGATTGCAGAAGGAAATGGCAGAGACACAATTTTTGACTTTGGTAGATTGTTTGACTAGTAAAGAAATAAAAATACTAAAAGTCCCCACTCGTAGGTGGTAAGCCAGATGGGGAGGGAGAAGAGGAGGCCGATAGAAGGTCACTGTTTTCGGGGTTTCACTTATATCAGGAAAACTATCCATCGCATCAAACAAAGACGTTCTAAACAAAATTAAAGCTGATAAAATTTGCAATAGGATTGATTCTATACATTTTTTCGCTACCTCACTTAGTTAGCGAGATATCTACCTTCAACCATGGCGAATTTTGAAGAAAAATAACTTTGAGTCATCGCCACTTCTTTCTATTACCCCCTTTTCAGGCATTCACTGGACCTGAGGGGCCTAAAGCTGTGTAAATCACACGTTTCCCGGCAATCTTATAAACTCAGGTTTACATGATAAAATAATTATGAGTTCGCGTTCTGGTGCCGGAGGAGTTTTAAACATCCCCGCCTTCCACCAAGGAAAAGCTTCGTATAGTCTCAATGTCTAAGGGGTGGACCCAGATAAAAAAACTGAGACGTATCAGGTTTGTACAGGCTCTTAAAATAGTCCGGAAGCCTGTTCTAAAAACGGTGTCATATTTCATACTAAGTTATGTCCTTATAAGTTGATCATATCAACAGGCCTGATGAGAAAAAGTTTTTCTGTATAGTTTAGAAGTTTAATCATTAAATTATAATTGCTCTAGCTTTTGAATGGTTGAAGATAAGATCATAAAATAATACATATTCTTAAAGAAAATTTAATATTAAACAACTTTCTTACTCATGACTTTTTCGTATAATGAAAAGATAAAGAGTTGGCGAGTCAAATAATGATAAAAATGCGATGCAAAATTTTTTTTTTTCAAAATTAGTGAATTACGAGGGCGAATATCATGGAAACTATAGAATATAGCGAATAAACTAATATAACCATCTCTACTGCAAATTTTATCAGCTTTAATTTCACACATCACACTATTATAGATATAACGCATAGTTTTACTGATATAAGCGAAAAACCGATAAAATTAAACTTTTTTAATCGTAAATTCAATTTTTCGACTTGAAATCTACGAGTATGGGGTAACTGACTTTTATTTCAGGTCTTAAGACTGTAAATAATATAAATTGAAAGTGTTGGTAGCTTTACATATTGATAAGTTCTCTATATATATACGCGTGAAACCTATGTAAGGTCTCTTCTATCTTCACATGGACGCTATTTTGTATTCTAGTGGCTTGATATCTTCTCCAGGCCGAACAGATGCTTGCCAGCCAATGAATTGCTACGACCGTTGTCACATGTTTTAAATAAAAATATAATTCAAATAATATAAAGGTATCTATTGTTCCCCAATATTAAACATACGTTTAAAAATCAGAAGGCAACTCAACCGTTCCTGAACTATCTGTAAAATCGAAGTTTTCAACAATACTACTAATCAACAATTGGATATCATCATCATCATCATGCATGGCACAACATCCCGTCACCGAGACTGGGCCTCCTCCAAGAGCCTCCGCCAGTTGGCTCTATCTTCTGCTGCAGCTCTCCAATTCCGCACACCAAGCAGGGTTCTCGCATCATAGGCCACGTTGTCCAACCATCTCGTCCTCGGCCTTCCTACCCGTCTTACGAGGTGCAGCTCCTCCATCATTATTTTTTTTGGTATTTCAAGGGTGCTCATTCTGGCCACATGCCCTGCCCACCTTAGTCTGGCCAGTTTAATATACGTGACTACGTCGATGTCTGCATAGAGAGAACTGAGCTCCCTATTTTTTCTTTTCCTCCAGACATCACCCTCCTTTACTGGACCATAAATCCTTCTGAGGACTCCTCGCTCAAAGACACTCAGCTTCATCTCATCCCTTTTGGTCATCGTCCAAGCCTCTGAGCCATATGTCAAAACAGGCCGAACAAGGGTCTTGTATATGATCAGCTTGGTCTTCTTTGAGAGGTACCTACTTCTTAAGTGTCGGCCAAGTCCAAAGACACATCTATTGGCAGCCGTGATCCTTCTTTGTATTTCTTGAGCCATGTCATTCTTGCTATTGATTTCAGACCCAAGGTATATAAAACTTTTCACTCTCTCAAACTTAAAAGAACCTACCTCAAATGGAGAGTTCAGATCAACCTCACCGCCAACTCTCATATACTTAGTTTTCCTCTCGTTGACTTCTAGACCAAGTGGTCTTGCAGCTGCTTCAAGGCTTATAAACGCTTCTCTGAGAGCCCGTTCAGACCTACCTACTATGTCAATATCATCAGCAAAACCAAGAAGCTGTGTCAGGCGATTGAAGATTATATCTTTGGTCTGAATACCGGAGTCTCTTACAGCTTTCTCCTCTGCCAAATTGAACAATAGACAGGCGAGGGCATCCCCTTGCCTAACCCCACTGCTCACTTTAAACTCTTCGGAGTCGTCAGAACCGACGCGTATTCTGCATCTCGAGCTGTCCATGGTCATCTTGATTAGGCGTACGAGCTTCTGAGGGATGCTTAGCTCCTCCAAGGCACAGTATAGTTGCGTTCTATCAACGCTGTCGTATGCTGCTTTAAAGTCCAGGAATAAATGGTGGGTGACTACCTTACGCTCCATAGTCTTTTCTAGGATCATCCTCAGAGAGAACAGTTGATCAGTCGTTGAGCGTCCTCTTCGAAATCCAGCCTGATATTTCCCCAGTTCCTTTTCAGAATACGGGAGGATCCTCTCAAAAAGAATGTTAGAGAGCAGCTTATAAGCACACGAAAGGAGTGAGATTCCTCGATAGTTAGCGCATTCTGTTTGATCTCCTTTCTTATGTATTGGGCAGATAATGGCTGTTGCCCATTCCGTAGGCATAGCTTCCTTCTCCCAGATGGTCAGCATTAAATCATGCAGAGCTTTCTTGAGTTCTTCACCTCCACATTTCAACAGCTCTGACTGGATTCCGTCCGGGCCTGGCGCCTTTCCATTTTTCAATTTCCTCAGGGCGTTTTCCATTTCCTCCTCATCCGGGGGTTCAATAGAATTCAGGGAGTCTTCCTTCATTACACCTACTTCTCCAGGCACCGTTCCTCTGTTTAATGCGCCTTTGAAATGTTGTACCCATCTCCTTAGTACGTCATCTTTGTGGCTTAAAAGAGTTCCATTTGTGTCTTTGCATGCCGTCACTCTGGGCCTAAAAGCTGCCCTACCCTCGTTTATTCTCTGAAAGAACAGGCGACTTTCATTTTGGCCTCGCAATGCCTCTGTGTCCTCCATGTTCTTATTTTCCCAAGCTCTTCTCTTTCCGCGGAATAATCTCTTCTCTTCGCGTCTTTTTCTTCTATATGTTTCTTGGGAGAGCCTTGTGGGACGCTGAACCTTCTTTCTGTAGGCTTCATTTTTCACTTTTACTGCTTGAAGGCACTCAGCATCAAACCATGGGGGCCTTCTAGATTTAGTCTCGTAGCCAAGAGCTTCTTCTGCTGCCTGTTTCATTGCGTTGCTGCATCTCTTCCACTGTTCATCGACCATAGAGCTGTCATTAATTACTTCTTCATTAAGTTTCGTCTCCACAGCTTGTTGATACGAATATTGGTGGTCTGAGTCCTTAAGTTTAACCACATCAATCTTCTTCTTTGGTCGTTGGTAGTGGTTTTTAATCAGCGAAATTCGTGATCTGACCTCGGCAATGCTCAAATAGTGATCCGTGTCCATATTTGCACCTCTATAAGATCTTGCATTTATCATGTTGGACTTGTGACGGGCACTAATGAGTACATGGTCTATCTGTGATGCTGTTTGCCCATTTGGAGAGATCCATGTTGCTTTGTGGATATTCTTTCGAGGAAAAAGAGTTGTTCCAACAACCAGTCCGTGCAATGTAGCAAAGTTCACCATCCGTAGCCCATTATCATTACTGGTCTCATGCAAGCTGTGGGTTCCTATGGTCGGCATGAGTGCCACCTCCTTACCAACTTGTGCGTTAAAGTCACCAAGAATGATTTTAACATCATTTTTGGGGCAGCTTTCTGTCACGCGTCCAAGTTCTTCATAAAATGCTTCCTTATCCTCCTCAGGTGACACCTCTGTTGGGGCATGGCAGTTGATTAGAGAGAAATTAAAAAATTTTCCTCTAAGCCGAATGTAGCATAACCTTTGGTTAATGGGAGTAAATCGCATCACCAACTGTCGAGCTCTGCCTCTCACAACAAATCCGGTACCGAAGATGTGATGCTTTTCATGGCAGCTATAGTAGAGTGTATGGTACTTCTTCTCCATAATTCCCTGTCCTATCCATCGGACC